AACCACACCTGGCTCTGCAGCCGGCTGCTCCGGGGCTGCCCCTGGGCCACTTCCTGCCTCCACGGGGTTCGGTACCTGTGGCCTCCAGGCTTCTTCCGGCTCCTCGGGGTACACAGCAGCAGGCACTCCGGGACAGTCCTTGTCGGCATCTGGGGATCGGGAACAGCCAGACGTAGGTTCCCCTCTGGGACACTGCAGAACAGGCGGACCGTCTTTCTCCTCCGCAGGCTCTGCCCCAACTGTGCTGCAGGGCATGCCTGTTATACTTCCAGCCATGCCCCAGTACTTCTGGTGAGGGGGGTGGGGCAATCTAGGCTCCGCCCTCCAAGGGGAGTGTAATGGTCCCTCGCTCTCCTGCTCGGAGGGAGGCCACTCAGCCTCACTACAGTCGATCATTGACTCCCTTGGAGAGCGAGTAAAGCTTGTGGGCAATGTCAGACCGTATGGTGAAACCTACTCTTGATTGTTTTGGCTTGTCCTTGTCATTCCAGTAGTAGGTGTAGCCTGCTCCCATGTCCTCAGGGTGGGATTCATCAGCAAGACTGATTTCAATGCGGGAATGATGTATTATATCTCTTCAGTGTTTTGGCAATAAAGGCTATTCTTTGTTCCGGTCTTTGGTCATTATCAAAAAGAGTTCTGACATTCCATGACCCAAATGTCAATCTGTGAATCTTTATTTTATTTTGACTGCTAAGTTGGGTGACCAGGCAGGAGCAGTAGCCGGATAGATATCGAAAGGGTAGGTTGTGTTTAAGGTTCCTTTTCAGTCCCCTTTTCCCTGGACTGGGGAGAACAGCGCTGTGCCTAAAAAGGCCTGCTTCTGTCACCTCAGGAGGATATGAGCTCCAAGCTCTGTATCGGCTGTTCTGCAGAGAACAAACTTCGCCCTAAGGCCGCCTATGTGTAGAGTTGTGACTAAGGACTGCCAGTGGCATCCTCTGCCTGTCCCAGTCACCACTTCCCTATCGTCCCAGAACTCTGGTAATTTGATTGGGTTGAATGAGTTAAATGAGTTGATGGCTGAACAATGTACTCCTTTTCCATTAATATGGAGGACTGTCAATGGACTTCTAGCTGCACCAGGGCTTCTATGACAAATTTTCAATACATAAAGTGTCAACACAACAGTTATATGGCACAGATTTAATGGCTCCAAATTTCTAATTTCCAATTCAGTATGAAACTAAATTGAAATATATTAATAGATCTTGTGAAATTAGTCTGTTTTGTTTCTATACTGAAAGTTGCTTTTTTCTACTGATTGTTGAATATTATCAGTTCAACTGAAATAAAAAAATACATTTAGATATAGGAACCAGAAAGCACTAATTATACATAATAGCACTGGGAAATGTAAGTGAATTCCCAAGATTATTACATATCTGTTGTCAGTTGAAAATCATAAATGACAAGTCTAACAAATGAACTTTATATAGTCTGAAAAGGGTCTGATGATGTTAATGGTTTGGTATCAGCACACCTCTTCACTGTCCTTTTTGTAAAAAGCATCATTCATTTTAGACAAGTTTATCCCATCTCACGTGAACCCGATATTTCATTATTTACATATTACAGATGGATTAGAAATATGGACTCACAAAACTGTAGCTAAATAAAAATTATATATATATATAAAAATTGAACACCACATTGGGGATAGTTAAAAGTGTTAGCATGTAAATTCACAGCCCTATTTTGACCCTATGATTAAGATCCAAGAGGGAAGAACTGAAACTCCATTGTATCATTACAATAAGGTTGAAGTGCAGCAACTTAAATGAACAGAGGGTTTTAAGGGTTTTCTTTTTTAGATATATGAATAAATACAGAAGGTAAATACTTAATTTACTTACAGGATTTTGGTTACTGTTTTTATTGGGTCATGATGCCTACATAGATTCCAGTGCTATGGTAATTGCTATGGCCAACAATGGATCTCAAAGAAGGTAATGATGCCTGATGTCATAGGTTCAAGAAACTGAGCTGATCCTGCTGGGGTTTTTTCTTTGAGTGAAAGAGATGCCCTGGTCGATATTGCAATTAACTGATATAGTTACCTTCCCATTCTAATACTATTAGTTTCAGAAGGAGTTGCTTGACTCTGCCATCCTGATATGAAGAATATTCCTTTATGCTTTCATTCTGCATTTCATCTCAGTTTTTAGCTTCTAAACTACCACACACTTGGAAGAGAAATGCTGGGAACTGAGATAAGGAGCCTGCATCCCCTGTGTATTGTGGATCCAGGCTCTGCTGGAGTTTCTTTTGTACAGCCATAGAAGGTTTTGGAGGTGGGCCTAGTGGATTTACACCAATTCATCAGTTAGGCCTAAAGTTGCCAGGTGTCCAGTTTTCGACTGGAACACCCGGTCGAAAAGGCACCCTTGCAGCTCCAGTCAGCACCACTGATTAGGATGTTAAAAGTCCTGTTTCAGAGTAGCAGCCGTGTTAGTCTGTATCCGCAAGAAGAACAGGAGTACTTGTGGCACCTTAGAGACTAACAAATTTATTAGAGCATAAGCTTTCGTGGGCTACAACCCACTTCTTCGGATGGAAAGTCCTGTTGGCAGCGCAGGCAGCTCTATGTTTTTTGCCGCCCCAAGCAAGGCAGTCAGGCGGCTTTCGTCGGCACGCCTGTGGGCGGTCCGCTGGCCACGCGGATTCGGCGGCATGCCTGCGGGAGGTCCGCTGGTGCCGTGCCTTCAGTGTCCCTGCTGCCGAAGCCGCGGGACCGGCCGACCTCCCGCAGGCATGCCGTCGAAGGCAGCCTGACGGCTGCCCTCACAGCAACCGGCAGGCCGCCCTCCCGCGGCTTGCCGCCCCAGGCACGCGCTTGCTGCGCTGGTACCGCCCCTGCTCCCTAACCGGCGCTGCATGGCTCCCAGAAGCGGCTGGCATGTCCCACCAGCTCCTAAACATAGGGGCAGCCACGGGGGCTCTGCGTGCTGCCCCTTCCCCGAGCGCCAGCTCCACAGCTCACATTGGCCGGGAACCATGACCAACGGGAGCTGCGGGGGCGTGCCTGCAGGTGGGGGCAGCGCATGCTGCGCAGAGCCTCCTGGCCACACCTGTGTCTAGGAGCTGGACGGACATGCTGGTCATCTCCTGGGAACCGCCTAAGGTAAGCGCCACCGAGCCTGCACCCCTCCTCACCTCCTGCATCCCAACCCCCTGCCCCAGCCTTGAGCCCCCTCCCCCACCCCACACACCCTCCCACACCCCAGCCCCCTGCCCCAGCCCAGAGCTCCCTCCCGCACCTTGAACCCCGCACACCCAGTGCAGCGCCCGTACCACCTCCCACACCCCAATCCCCTGCTTCAGCTAGAGCCCCCTCCTGCTCCCCTCACCCCCTCTGCATCCCAACCCCCTGCCCCAGCCTGCTGAAAATGAGTGAGGGTGGTAGCGAGTAAGTGGCAGAGCGACAGGGGATGGAGTGAGTGGGGAGTGAGGCCTCAGAGAACGGCCGGGGCAGGGCAAGGGTGTTCGGTTTTCTACTATTAGAAAGTTGGCAACCCTAGCTAGGCCCCTGCACATGTGAGGGTTGCTGAATCCCTGAGGCTACAGTAGTAACAATGGAACAGCCACACTGTCACACTTTGGCTTGCTGTGGAGAATTCCTTCTCTCTCCACCCCCTCTTGTAACCATATGCACAGCCCTGTTACTTCTGCTGTTTGTGAGGGTGAACATTTTCCCTTAGCTGGGAATTAGCTGAATTAATAGTGGGTAGGGAATTACTTTGGAGGTGCCCTATAACCTGAACCTCTGACTTTGGCTAGGCATACTAATAAGTTACCACAATAAGAAAAATATAACAAAGAATCTAGGTTTAAACAATAAGAAAAATATAACAAAGAACCCCTGAGTAACTGATGCTCCTTAGAGAACAAAAATAAGCATCCACAGCACATTTATTTAATGTTTAAATTACTTCATATTTTCACAAAACCTTAAAAGAAAATATATTTCTCCCACATACAGTAATAGCAAACAAGTGCACTATTTCAAACATTAAAAATAATCTTTAACCAAATCTGTACAACAGATAAATAAAATTATATCTACAATACTTAGTTTGTGAAGAAGAAAACCAAAAAATTCCCCCCCAAACTCACTTTTTCTTACTTCTAACAATGGCATAGATGTAGGTTGTACATCCTGTCCATAGCAACTATCTCTACAGTGCTCAGCTATACCATGACTTTCAATAAATCAGATGTACTGATCAGTGGCTAAGGATGACTTTCCAAACATTGGAAATAATGTCCAAAAGAAAACATAACTGAGAAAATGTTGAGTATCTTTCCTCAAGCTTGTGAATAAAACTAATTGACATACCCAAGGTTGTTGAATTAATGCACTAAGAGTTTATTCTTGAAACCTGTATTATCTTTTATCTTGCTATCTTCCTCTCATTACTGGCTCCATCATTCTTACAGAAATTGTTTTCTTTACTGGAACAAAATTTTGCAGCTATTCTTTCACTGTCAGGAACGTTTTCCTACAGACACAGGTGGCTTTGCAAGTTCGGACTCCACAGTTCAACTGAGATAACATCAGAAAATACATAAATATCAGACCACTTACTGTATAAATTAAGATTCATATAGTTTATCATTACATACAATTGCACATATGCTGAGAAAACAATGTCGTATTCATTCTTTGAATGCTAAACAGTAGCCACCAAAAGGAGGACAGAACGAAGATGCACATGAACCTCCAAGCATTACGTAAGCCAAACTCAAAAAAATCTGTGAAGACTATTATGGTTCAACGGAACAAAGTATCACCGTAGTTCACTGAATTTGCAGAATTTAAAATTACAACCTATCAGTTCTAATTTGAAGTGGTATTTCTTTCAGTTCTATGCTGTATGCAAAAGAAGGTTACATGATAAAGAAAAAGCCTTTGATTCTGAGTTTGAATCACAGCAACAAAGGAAAGATACTGCTAAATAGGAATGGAAGAATTGGCTCTTCTGAACAATGAACCTCAACCTTATTTCATTGTTATTTTAAAAAGGGACCCATTGTCTACAGCTGGCCAGACTGCTAGTCAACCAATTTTTCCCATGCAGGCTTGCTTTCCATATCTTCAAGTCATACACGATATGGGGGTTCTGAGGTTGTTGTGCCCCTGCTATGCCCTTCTCTGTAATATCTGAATACAGTAGATGTATGACTGGAAAAGGGTGGGAATTTCCCCAACTTTTCAATATTCAGCTGAAATATTGCTTATCATTGTTTTATCAGTGGGGCTGTATTAATATTGTGAACTACAGAGAGTTTGAAAGAGCAATAATTGGAAAATGCTGATGAAAAACCAAACATACTTGTAGAAAATTTAAAATAAAATTACTTATGCATTCTTAACAAATCCCACATTTCCAGAACTGAAAAATATTTCCTGAAAACTGTCTTCAGGGGAAAAAAAAAAAATACAAAACACCTATGAAGTACTGTGTAAACCTGGCTAGAAGGTTACATGGAATCACTTTAAATTGAGGGGCTTTTGTTCAATGCATAAAGGGTTTCATATACTACATACTAGCTACTCCCAAAACATTGATCTCTAAACAATGAGTTAACACTTAGTTTAGAAAAATGACCCTGATTACCAGTAAGATAACTTCATTTTGAAAATTAGCAAAAAATGACCATTAGCTAAAGATCATACATCAGGTCTGCTTTGTTGTTACAAAAAGTTTCTTGAGGAGAACAATTAAAGCGTGTCTCTTGTATACTGTAGTATGCTAGTAAATATCTGCGCGTTAGGTGTATCAAGGTAAAGTTAATTCAGTAATCTCCAAATTATGCTGCCAAGCCACCCATTTATCTTCTTCATGTTACATTTAAACAGATATGTAAACAGAAATATATATCCAGTAGAAAAAAAGACTTGTTTTTCACATGCAATTCTGTACAGTGCATTCTTGTTTCTCAGGTTCCTTTGAGAAGGATATTTCCACACAAAATATGTACATTTCCATTATATACACATTCAATAGACTTCATTTAGATGTCCTTCTGCTGCTGCTGAGCACTGTACACGTTTTTTGTATCTCCAGTTAAATATTTTTCGTCAGGCAGACACAAAGTAAGCCTGAAGTAAGTTTTAAGGACTTCTTGAAGTTAATGCCTTGATTGATCTTGAATTGCTGCCAAAAAGAGGAGTCCAGAAAAAAACCCAGCTATACATAGCAGCCTTCTAAGCAGAGTCGCATTATCTTTAGGAACAACCATCTGTGCTAGATCATTAGTGATCTGAGAAATTTCATGTGCCACACACACAAATATAAAAGTGCTGACAATTATGTTGAGCATTGGATTTCCAGGAATGAGCACCAAGATCCCCTTTGTATCTGCTGCTAGCCAGATGTGGTATTGGCAGATGAACAGCTAGAAGGAAAAGAGATTCAGTTTACAAATTTATATATAAATAAGAGTATAATCATTACTACTACATTAGCTGATACAGGGCTTACTCCTGTTAAAGGGGTAAACAGTGAGGTGGCAAAGTTTGCAGATGATACAAAATTACTTAAGATAGGTAAGGCCAAAGCAGACTGCGAAAAGCTACAAAGCAATCTCACAAAACTGAGTGACCGGGCAAGACAATGGCAGATGAAATTCAGTGTTGATAAATGCAAAGTACTGCACACTGGAAAACATCATCCCAACTGTACATACAAAATGTTGGAATCTAAATTAGCTATTACCACTCAACAAAGAGATCTTGAGTCACTGTGGATGGTTCTCTGAAAACATCTGCTTAATGTGCAATGGCCGTAAAAAAGCTAACCAAATGTTCGGTACCATTAAGAAAGAGATAGAAAGTAAGATAGGCAATATCACAATGCCACTATATAAATCCCTGGAACACCCACACCTTGAATACTGCATGCAGTTCTGGCTGGAAAAAGTACAGAGAAGGGCAACAAAAATGATTAAGGGTATGAAACAGCTTCCATATGAGGAGAGATTAAGAAGACTGGGACTGTTCATCTTAGAAAAGAGATAACTAAGGGAAGATATGATAGAGGGCTATAAAATCATGAATGGTTTGGAGAAAGTGAATAAATGAGTGTTTTACCCCTTCACATAACACAAGAACCAGGGGTCATCCAATGAAATTAATTGGCAGCAGATTTAAAACCTATGAAGTACTTCTTACAGTCAACCTGTAGAACTTGTTGCCAAAGAATGCTGTGAAGGCCAAAAGTATAACTGAGCTAAAAAAAGGATTAGATAAGTCCATGGAGGATAGGTCCAGGGATGGCTATTAGCCAAGATAATCAGGGATGTAATCACATGCTTTGGATATTCCTAAGCCTCTGACTGTCAAAAGCTGGGACTGGATGACAGGGGATGGATCACTCAACCATCCTGTTCTGTTCATTCCCTCTGAAGCATCTGGCACTGGCCACTGTCGGAAGACAGGATAGTGGGCTAGATGGACCATTGGTCTGACCCGATAAGGCCATTCTTACATTCTTATGAGTATCAACTAAATATAAGGTGGGACAGATTATTAAGCATAAGGGGTTAAAACATGATGTAAGAAACTACTCAAAATGAAGTAGGCAATTAACACCTCTGCAGTCATAGGACACAGGATGGTTAGTAGGTTACAAATTGTTGGGAACTTAAATTCGTAACTCTGATAGACATTAAGGGCACGTCTTCACTGGCAACGTTAAAGTGCTGCCACGAGTCCGTGGCATAGTGCTGAGAGAGAGCTCTCCCAGGGCTCTAAAAAAACCACTCCACGAGGGGCATTTCTCCTAGTGCTGGTGCACTGTCTATACTGGCATGTTACAGTGCTGAAACTTGCAGTACTCAGGGAGGTGGTTTTTCACACCCTTGAGCGAGAAAGTTGCAGCGCTGTAAAGTGCCAGTGTAGACAAGCCCAAAAAATCAGTCTCAGAGACACTGGTTTATGGCTCATTACAACAATTTGTAACCTACAACCCTCCTTTGACCTATGACTGAAGAGGTATTGACTGCCCACTTCATTGTAAGTGGTTTCTTGCAACATGTTAAATGCTTACATTTAACAATGTGTCCCTAGTATTTAGCTGTGATACTCTGGTTACCTTTGCCAGACCTGAAGAAGAGCTCTGTGAAGCTCAAAAATTTGTCTCTTCCACCAACAGAAGCCAATCCACTAAGAGATATTACCTCATCCATCTTGTCTCTCTCAATGAAGAATATAAACAGCCACAGTTGGATATTTTTGGTTCACTTGCTTTGATATGTTTTTACTATTTATCAGTTACACTACAGTGTACATTATAAATCCACCATTTATAGATTCCTAAAATGAAACACCCTATTATTGCATTTGTGATCACTCTACTTACCTCTAAAGAAATTCTGCCAAACCAGGCAAAAAATGAACTGTATACAGAACGGGCATATCCAGGAATGTTCCTGATGAGGATGAAAGCTAAAATCTAAAAAGAGATTATGCATTATAACTAAGTAAGAAAATTAATGTAATCAGATATTTTTGCTATATATGTACATATTAAAAAGTTAAAAAATACATACAGTATATATGTAATATAAGCATGTGCACAAATGTTTGCAGGATCAGAGCTACACTATATGCAGTAGAACCTCAGAGTACGAACACCTCAGGAATGGAGGTTGTTTGAACTCTGAACAAAATGTTATGATTGTTCTTTCAAAAGTTTAGAACTGAACATTGACTTAATACAGCTTTGAAACTTTACTATGCAGAAGAAAAATGCTGCTTCCCCCCGCTTTTTTTAGTAGTTTACATTTAACACAGTACTGTACTATATTTGCTTTTTTTTTTTTTTGTCTCTGCTGCTACCTGATTGCATACTTCTGGTTCCAAATGAAGTGTGGGGTTGACTGGTCAGTTTGTAACTCTGAGATTCTACTGTATATGAATTAGTATTCAGGTACGGTGTACGGCCATGAATGCATATTTTAATTTTTATATATAAAGATATCTATATTTATTTTACACAAGGATATATATGTAGTGCGTACATATATACACACACACACACAAATATACCCTTGTGTAAAATAAATATATAGATATCTTTATATATAAAAATTAAAATACATATTCCTATATATATTATATCAGTATATTAGTATGTATATAAATTGTACACACATACTGATATAGCTATACTCTTACATTTATACACAGAATAGAATGAAAATGTGGTGTCACAATATGTAAATAAAATGCTAAATTTTAAACTTTATATTATACAGGTCAAAGAAAAATAACCAGCAATGCAACAAGCCCTTTTTCACATTCATACATGAAAATAATGTTCATCAACTGATGTTAAGTGCTAAGACATCAGAGACAGACTATATTATTTTTTTTAATAGAATATAGATTCTGTCACTAAGGAAAAGGAGCATAATTACCTGCACCACAGAAACAGAAGGATGCAGTTCATTGCACTCAGTTTTGTTTTTACAGCTACTAGCCCAGATAGAGTAGGTCTACAAGATATAAATATACATATCAGTCTGTTTGATGACTGTGCTTAAGAGATTTTAAAATGTTACAACAGGATAAAACATTTTAAAATATGTTAAAACAGCAGCAGTGTGGTGTAGGGAGGGAGGAGTAGATTCTTTACACTTTCTAGTTAGTTATGCATTTCTTAAACACTGTTTTGCAGCTGATGAATGCAATAATCATTTGTACTCGAAAATACAAAAAAACTCACTGCTGACAATTTTGTTAATCACACTTAGACATTAGGTCATTTCTTGATTGTTTATACAAGTCATCTACCACTCTATTCTTACTAAGATCATCCAAGATAATCAACTGGAGAAACTGTAATATTTAAATCTACAATAGACTAAAAAAAAAAAAAAAAAGAGTCCAGTGAAGGTTTAAGATGGGTAGTAGCTATTTATAAAATATAGCTGAAATAAACTTCTGCAACCCAAGACCATCTCTTATGAAATGTCGACTCATTGCTACACAGGAACTTCTCCAGAAAGCTGACCATCCTCAGGATGACTGTTTTAAATTTACAAAATTTCAATTCATATTGTGGACTTACCAAAAAGCAAACTACAGAAATAAATAGTAAAACATTTGAAATTTTGTTGGAGAAGAGAGGCTCTCCTTTCCCTTCTGAAAGCACCTGACGTTTTTGTAATGCCAGATAAATAAAAGCGAACATCATCCCATGAAAGACTACCTGCAAAAGAAAAACAGGGTAACTACTCACTCGTGGCATTTAATAAACACAGGTAAAAACACCAAGGTAACAGGGTTGTTAAGATATTTGGTCTAGGATGTTACTCCAGACTCCTCCATTAACATCAGGCTATGGTTCAGAGCGCTGCTGCCGCCGCCTGTTTTACATTTTTTGGTGTTCTGGCACTTTAGCACCTCCCCAGAATGCAATGTATGCTTCACAAACTGCAACACTTGTGAGATTTGGAGTTTTGTTAAGTACACAGCTCTCCCTGGGGCATACAAAACATTTAGGCAGTTATTAAAATTGGCAGCAGAGGGAGAATGTGTGCCATTGATTGGTCCCAGACCACCCACTCTGTGGAGTGGAAAGAAGAATTTGAAGACTGCTGCCCCCAACCACAGCAGGCAAGACAATGCCTTCCAGAAGAGGTCAGAGGAAAAATACGCTCTGGTCTCACATCCTCCCACTACCCAAACAACATACAGGAGAGAACAGGCAGAAATTTCTCTCTCTGCCAGCACACCACACTGTGGGGGAAGAAGAATGCCCTCTCGAAAAGCTATTTTAAAACACAGTATTTAAAATATATTTATAAACAATAAGATAAAAATAGCATCTCTACATAAAAGGTGAAATAAATTTTATATCAAGACCTTCTGATTTTAGCAGCACAGAATATTCAAAAAGAACACTCCCATGGAAATGGCAACAAAGTCTGATGAAGTGGGTATTCACCCACGAAAGCTTATGCTCCAAAACATTTGTTAGTCTATAAGGTGCCACAGGACTCTGTTGCTTTTTACAGATCTAGACTAACACGGCTACCCCTCTGATACTTGACCCCATGGAAATGTCATTAATTTATAAATTATGTTGTTTATATAATTAAAAGTTTCTTTGGAGGTTCCTTTGGGTTTTTAAAAAAAGATTTACCATTTACAATTTCAATTTCCTGCAGAATTTAGCCTCGAAGTGCCAACCAAAGAAGTCAGTTGTCTCCCAGCTAAATTTAAGTCTGGGACAAGACAGAATATGCAGAGCTCTGATTATGGACACTTTATAGGCTCAGGATATAAACAAGTCAGCTTCCATCTTTTCTGCATGGCTTTGACAAATACTTGAAGTAAAAGAGGATTCTCCCTGGCCCTACAACAAACCATTGCCTGGAACTTCAAATTTATTTTTTCCATGGGAAGAGGGAGAAGTAGATTCTAAAAGTTAAAATATATTCAGGAATACTTCTTAAAACACAAGACCACAATTAATTTATAAAAGGATTACATACATAGCGGTCTAACTTCCACCTAAACCACCATTCATAGACATTTCCATTCAGCTCAAAACATGTGGACAATGGCCAAAGAGAAAAAATCTTCTCAAATACACCCTGCAAAATACAAACATGGCAAGAATGTTAACATTGACTTCAACCCCATTTAATAAATTTAATTCATTTCATTATATTTTAATACCATCGTACCAGTACTAAATCAGTTTAATTGGCCTCACCTAAAAATAAAGTCAACAGGACTTGTGCACACACTGCCCTCTCAAGATAAGGCCCAGAATACTTATGTCAGTTAATGTTGGTTTAATAGTTCAATTTTCACATCAATTAATTTTAAAGCAGCTAGGACATTTGTCTACACTGCCTGTGTCATGTTCTACCAAACACAGGCCTGAGCCTGAAACAAATTCCTTCCTTAAAAAAACAACAACCCTGAAATGAGTGCAGATAAATTTTTGAACGGCAAAACACTACAGATGTACAGTTAAGCTGCAGCATGCTTCCCATTCCCTACATTTAATTTAAACACTGCATATTCTCAGATATGGAAGAAGTAAAAATGTGTTGTTTGTTTCAAATTATCTAATTGAATGAACCTATTTTAATAAAAGTGTTAGATATACACATCTAATACTCACTAGACAATATCTCCAAGTTGCTGCCTGACCCCCTCTCCCTTAAACACAAATTGGAAACACACACCTTGTTATTCTGTGGGCCTCTGAATGTATCATGATATACTGTACAGTATTTCCTAATCCTCCCTCCCTATCTGTAGTCAGTGCAGTTCTCAGCAGCCAGATGGAATGAATTCATGGTCTCCTTCTTACAGATCATTGTTCATACCCCTCCATGAATTAGCTCGCAGAAAGTGTTCCTCCAATTGTAGGGAAGAAGGCGGCCAGTCTACCATTCCTCCAGGAGATTAAAATCTTTACTAATGACTAGAAGTGGTTGAAAAGGAACAGAATTACCTGAAACTATTCCTGAATTTGTTTTATTTTTCTGATCAACTTCAAGGGTAGTTGAAGTTTTCTGAAAATTCCAAGTTTCAACTAAAAAATGTATTAAACATTTTCCCCACATTTTTCAATCAGCTGTACCGGTGAATAATCTTTTCAATCATTCTGAGGAGCTGGAGTTTTAACATTATTCCAACGTTATTGGGCCCTATTATAAATGTGTCCGAAGTATGACATATTGTGTTACATTGCAAGCTCTTTGGAGAAGAGACTGTAATTTTGTTCTGTGTTTCCATAGAACCTAGATCAGTGGGATCCTGGTCCATGACTTAGGTGCTCTGTTAATACAAATAAATAATAATTTGAGTATTTCTGCAGATAGATGTTATTCTCTATGCACCATGATAGAAGTGCTCTGAAAGGCATCTGACATTTCCCTCTAATTTCCCATTGATAAAAACATCTACAATCTTTCCTCTCACTACTCAATTTTGCACTGTGGGCTTAAATGGAGACAATAATTTATGTGTTGGGAGACGTAAATGAAAACTTTACAGAAAACTTCAGTACCAATACTAATGAGAGTTGGTGTTTTTTTGTTTTTGTTTACTTAGTAAGGGGCAAATTCTGCCCTTCATTCTGTACCCTGTACATGATATAGTACGTGGTAAGTCATGCATTTGGCATGAAATTCACAACGATACAGAAGATCTACACAAAGCCTATGCACTACTCATGTGCCACTTAAATCTTCAACAATAGATCTTAAGTGGTACATAAACCTTGTCCTGGAAATCTGTGTAGGCATGAATTTCACCCATGAGCAACTGACATCCTCCAAAGAGTGCAGACCTTCCTGTTTCCAAAGTTTTCAATAGACAAACGGCAGCCAAAATTAGGCCCTCCAGGTAGGATCAAAGGGGCTGGGGAAAAATCCTAACAGAAGTTATATACGTTGGTGTCAATTTTCCAATGACTTTTGTGCCACATTTGCTTGGTTTCTATGTCAAAGTGAGATCTGTCTTTTTAAATTTAGATTTTTCTCTATTTTCAATCATAGGAAATGTAGTGAAGAAAAATGAAATCTTTCTAACTCCTGGTACTTCAGCTCAACCTGGCATCTGAAAGTCAAACTGTTCTTTGATTTGTACATCACTCATAACTGACAAAATTTCTGCCCTCAGGATTTAGCTGACAATTTTGTTGAGATGCATGAGAAAAGAGAATGCAGCTTGCTCTGCAACTATACGGGCCATAAGCGCTAACAGCACAACCTTCCACTCACCCCCAATAAATTAGCCAGACAGGCCCTGAAAGATAAATATAAAGCTGATCTCTCAATTTACATAACATTGTAGGAAAGAACAATGAATTTTAAAAGTGTTGTGAGAAACAAACAAAATGTAGGATACTGAAAATTCCAGCCTCCCAGATAAAATCAGATATGAAAAGGAGGCATTTAAATATTCAATTTTCCCCCCCATATTCTCCTATATAGTAACAGAAAACTGGTCATAATGTTCTATTCAGAGTGGCTTTCCAAACTGAATACACAGGCTACTATTAATTCTCTAAGGATACAATAAATATAATTTACAAACCTGAGAATTTGCTAGAAAATATATACACATAAGTAAGGAAATTAGTTTCAGCAGTAAGCCAAAGTGCCAGAAGCAGTTCCCTGTGGGAGAATTGAAAAAAATCAATGAGTATCTGGCTGTTATTTTTCAAAACAAAAACAAATGATACATTTAATAAGAAGTCAGTAGCAGTGTCACACAGATATTCTTTATAATTTAATATGTATATTGTCCAGGTATTAGCCAGTCACAATCTGCCATTATCCAAACATTTTAATTTGGTGATTTTGCTTTCTTTCATATAAAGTAAAATCCACACCACAAACATTCACAATCATAAATTCACACATTATTCTATCCTCAGATGCACAAGTACAACCCCTTCTGGCTTGAATGAAACTGATGTGCACATATCCAAGAGCACAATTTAACCCTACAAAAGCAAACAATGCTTTAAAGACTCAGTTTTGCCAGACACTCAGCATGGGAATTTTTAATTTTAGTTACACATGAAAAATCTAAGAGCAGTTACGTAAAATGAGTGTATATTTAAACTGTGAGTCAGGAGTGAGGTATTATGAGGCACATCTAATTTTGCTCCTCATAAGCTGAACTGGTCAGTTGAGGAGCAGTATCTTGCCAAGGCTAGCCAAAAGGAACAGCTCCCTCAGGCTGCTGGCAGACACTGTTTTGATCCCACAACTCAGCTGTGCAGCGGAGAATGGCTCTCACTCCTGATTCAAAGATTGGAAGCGGCAACAGGCACAGAGCTGAAGGAAAGTGGTCAGTGAAAGGAGCTTTCAGGAAGTAGTGCTGTGAGGTCCACAGTGGGACTTCTGTTGCACAGTGCACATGAGGAAGGAGGAGCTGTTGTAAGAGAAATATCAGGGTGTTACAAATAACCTCGTGAGCTGGTTGTCAGTGCTTTAAAATTAACAGTAAATATTCTGGACATCATGTCAAAGTACAGGCCAATTACCAGTTCTGAAGTATGTATTCCAGATACACGTTTAAAGTGCTTCACTATCAAAAATGTAATCTACACAATTGGAATATTACACCATTAATACATCAGGGAAGAAGTTACTCACCTTGTGCAGTAACTATGTTTTTTCGAGATGTGTCCCCCCTATGGGTGCTCCACTGTAGGTATATGTGCGTCCCTGCGCTTCTGATCAGAAATCTTTGGTAGCAGTGTCCATTTGGCCTGCACGTGCTCTCTCTCCTCGTGCTCTACTTCGAGGCTAATTAATGCTGCGCAGGCCAACCACCCTCAGTTCCTTCTCTACCGCAGAGTCCCTATCAAGTAGAGGAGAGGAGGGTGGGTTCCGGAGCACCAAAAGTGGGACACATCTTGAAGAACCATCGTTACTGCACAAGGTGAGTAACTACTTCTTCTTCTTCAAGTAGTGTCCCTATGGGTGCTCCACTGTAGGTGACTCCCGAGCAGTATCCCTAATGGGAGGTTCGGGCTTTGAAGTTGAGTCTGTTACGGATAATACTGCTGCGCTGAAGCTAGCATCAGAAACAGAGTCCCCAATAATCATACAGTATTCTGCGAAGGTATGTACAGACGCCCAGGTGGGTGCTCTGCAGATTTCTGAGATAGGGACATTCTTGAAGAAAGCAACAGAGGAAGAAACGGACCTCATATTGTGTGTGAGAATTCCAGATGGAAACACTATGTTGCGAACATGATAGCAGAGCTTCATATAGTTCGAGCCTCACTTAGAGAGCCTTTGGGGTGATATTGCTGTGCCTTTAGACCTTTCCGCAATGGAAAGGAAGAGCTTGGGAGATTTCCTAAAAGTCTTCATCCTGTCCAGGTAGAAGGCCAGAACTCTCCTAACATCTAGCATGTGGACTATGGCCTCTCTGTTATAACAGTGAGGCTTAGGATAAGACGTTGGGAGATTAATTGGTTCACGTGAAAAAAATGAGGAATAACCTTTGAGTGTGGTCTGAGAATAATCTTGTTGTGAAAGAATTCTGTAAAGGGGGGTGCGTCATAAGAGCAGCTATTTCCCCTATTCTCCTAGCTGACGTGATGGCCACGAGAAATGCGGTCTTCATTGACAGGTGTGTAAGTGAACAACTGGCCATAGGTTCAAGGCTCTTTAAAACTAGATTTAGGTCCCATGTTGGAGTGCGGCATCTGGGCTGGGGAAAAAGGTTCGTTATGCCCTTGAGGAATCTCTTTGTGGTTGGGTGTGAGAAAACTCTTGTGGATGGAAAGTCACTATGGCTGCCAGGTGTACCTTGAGCAAACTGAGGGATAGCCTTGTTTTCTTAAGAGCTAGTATGTAATCTAACACCACAGGGAGAGTAGCATGTCAGGATAATTTGCCTGGAACCACAGCAAACCTGAAACCTGGACAACTTCTGCAGGTAAGTATGATGGGTAGCCGATTACCGACTGTGTAGTAACACTTTCTGTACCGCCTCAGATCAGGTGCTCTCTCTGCGTTGGAACCAAGAAAGAGCCAAGCCTTGAACCGGAGTATCCGCAGGTTGGGATGGAGAGTGTCTCCTTTGTTCTGTGAGAGGAAGTAAGTAGTGGGTTGAAGAGAGATGGGTGGACGCATCACCAGCTGTGACAGGTACGAATACCAAGTCTGTCCTGGCCAGATGAGAATAATCAGTAGAACGTTTGGTTTTTCTCTTTTTATTTTCAACAGGACCATCACCATCAGAGGGAACAGGGGAAAAGCATAAAGAAGACCCTCATCCCATGGAAGAAGGAAAATGGCCCCTAATGAGTGCTGTCCGAGGCCGGTCCTGAAGCAGCAGTGTGGGCATTTCCTGTTCAGGTAAGGAGCGAACAAGTGTATTGATGGTGTCCCCCATTGATTGAATATGCTGTGATGTACTGCTGGGTTCAGTTCCCACTCGTGATTGTATGAGAACATGCAATTGAGACTGTCCGCTGTTGTGTTCTGCAGTCCCAATAGGTAGGCTGTTGATGTTAGAACATTGTGGCAAATGCACCAGTTCCATAGCTTTAGTGCTTCTGTGCAGAGAGAGGATGATCTGGCACCTCCCTGATGATTTATGTAGTACATGCATGCAATGTTATTGGTCATGACCTTCGTGTGTGTACTTCTGATCAGTGGGAGAAAGCATTCCTGACCACCCTGAGTTTGAAGAGGTTGATGTGGAGAGTCATCTCTATGAGCGACCATTTGCCCTGAGTTCTGAGGTTGTTGAGGTGTGCACCTCAACCCATGAGGGATGTGTCCATAGTGAGAACTGATGTCAGGGGAGGGGAGGAGAGGCTGAGTGAACAGGACCCCCAGGCAAACATTTCCTGCATCTTTCCACCAATCCAGGAAGTGTTTGACCCTGGAAGGCATCTAACCTGTCTCTGTGTGGCCTGTAAACTGAGCTGAACCATGTCTGCAGATACCTCATGTGCAGTCTGGCATGAGATATTATGAACATACTGGCGGCTATGTGCCCCAGAAGCAGGAAGCAATGTCTGGCAGAACTCTGAAGGCTGGCTTGAACTGTCTCTATAAGCATGGACAGGCTGTGAAATCTGTGTTGTGGAAAGAGCGCTCTCCTTGCAGTGAGTCAAGGTCGGCTCCCATAAACTCCAGGCGTTGTACCGGAGTTATGGTCAATGTTTGGATGTTGATTTGCAGGCTCAGGTTTGTGAATACATCCATAGTTCCATGGGTGGCACGTAGAACTTCTTCAAAGAAGTGGGCCCTCAGGAGGCAGTTGTCCAAGTATGGGTAGATCATGATCTCCTGGGTATGTAGGTGAGCCGCCACTACAGAAAGGATCTTGGACAATACTCTGGGAGCCCACGAGAGGCCAAAGAGGAGCACTCTGTACTGGTCCTGACTCAGAGTAAATCTGAGATATCGACCCTACCATCTCACAGATGATTCATGGAAATACGCGTCTTGGTGGTTCAGAGCTGAGAACCAATCTCCCTGTTCCAGAGATAGAATAATCACTGCTAGTGTGACCATCTTGGATTTTTGGGCCTTGAAGTATTTGTTCAATGCCTTGAGGTCCAATATGGGTCTCCAAACTCCCTTTTTCTTGGGGATCAGGAAATAGAGTAAAACCCTCTGGCATGGAGATGTAGATGGACAAGTTCTATGGCTCCTAGGTGGAGGAGATGATCTATCTCCTGTTGCAACAATCTCTCATGAGAAGGGTCCCTGAAGAGGGATGGGGAAGGGGGATGGAGATAGAGTGGATTGAATACCCATTGGAAATAGCCTCCAAAACCCATCTGTCAGATGTCCTGTGTTCCCAGTTGTGGTGGAACAAAACACTACAGAAGGGATGCAATGGGTTGGGAAGTGGCAGCTGATTTTGAAGGGAGTGGCCTTGAACAGGATGTCAAAACTGATGTTTTGAAGTGACAGACTGCGATGTTGAAGTTAGAGGGCCTGATAGTTTGTCTCTCTGGAATTTGGATTTCTTTCTCCGTGGCTTTTAGTAGTGTTGTGGGGGGAACAGTGGTGCATGCAGTTTGCAAGAAGACTGAGGACTAAATTTTCTCTTTTGTCTGGTTGTATGGATCTCCAGTGACTGAAGTTTGGCTCTGGTATCCCCAAGTGTGTGGAGCAATGCATTGGTCTTCTCAGCAGACAACTCAGAGCCATGGAAGGAGAGGTCTTCAATAGTTGTTTGCACCTCCTTTGGGAAACCTGAAAGCTGCAACTACAACGCTCTTTGCATCACAACTGCTGTTGAGATGGACTGGGTCATTGTATCAGTTGCATCAAGCACTGCCTGGAGTGCTGTTTTGACCACCAACTGCCCTTCATTGTTAATGGCTCGAAATTGTTCCTATTATGATTCAGTGAGATGGTCAATAAAGAGGTTAAGTTTGGTATAGTTCATGTAATCATATTTTGCTGTTAAGGTCTGGTAGTTTTCAATTCTAAATTGCAGAGTAGCAGACGAGTAGGCCTTTCATCCAGATAAGTCCAGGTGCTTCCAATCCCTATCATAAGGGGTGGACTCTGAATGCTGTTGCTGGCCGCGGGAGTTCATTGCATCTATCACAATGGAATTAGGATGAGGGTGGGGGGAAAAAATTCTGTATCCCTGGTGTTGCCTTGAATTTAAGGGGTGTGTATACCCCAGAATGTAATCAAGTTAATTGCAGCCATATTATGTGCATTCAGCCACCCTGAATTAATGAAATAAAACACCACATAGTTAAGGGTTAATTTGAAGACAGGCTTTTAGAAGCAAGGTCATATCTAGCTGGCAGTTTCTGCTAATCAGAATAAAAAAAGGGAATAGACAAGTAAACAACTAAAACTAAAAATCTTAATAATTAAAAAAAATCAAATCTAAACACCTCTACTATTAAAAATTTCTTAATTAAAAAAAAAACTAGTAAAAATCATCATAACCTATGTTTTATAAAAATTAGTTACAAAAAATTAGCTAATAAAATGTATTTTAAAGAATCATATTCTATGATCCTCGAAAGCCATCTTAAAAAACATTTTTCCTGACACCCTTTCTCCCTGATGGGTAAACAACTGGCCACAGGGTAAACAACTGGCCACAGCAAACCTGCTTTTATTTACTTAATATCTAAAACATTCTAAATCTATTGCTTATGTTTATATGTGCTTATATCTAATAAACTGCTGTTTTAAAGAAAGCAAGTTTACTTGCATAAATCTTATCAAACAAAATTGCTGTGTTCCTATTAATTATTTTATTTTAGGCAGTGTTAGGAATAAATTAAGTTGCCCCAGGTAAAAGTTCTAAAGACCCCAGATAACACTGGGAGGTACATAATATATTTTTTATCATCCAATTTGCATGTTGGTGTGGCCGATGCTGGCATCTGCCATATAAACTTAGCTGGGTCCAAAAGCGCCTTGTTGATGGGGAGCATTATTCTGGAGGAGGAGGAGGAGGAAGAGGAGGAGGAGGAGGAATGTAAAATATCCAGCAACTTATGGTGAGTGTCTTTTACCTCCTTGAGAAATATCTGTAAGGTATCTGCCAACCTCTTTGGCCTTGTCTACATCTACCCTACATAGTTTTATTGACAAAAGTGAGGTTACAAAAACACAAACTAGCTAAGAACGAATTTCTAAAGAGTAAAGTATCTGTGAACAGACTCCTAATTGCTCTGTCTCTAGCCAGGGATGGTTGAGAAGGAACTGAGGGTGGTTCGCCCATGCAGAGCTAATTAGCCTCAAGGCAACGCATGAGGAAGAGAGAGCGCATGTACATGGCTGAACGAACACTGCTACCAAAGATCTCCAGTCAGAAGTGAGGGATGCACATACATCTACAATGGAGCAACACCATAGTGACACTACTCGAAGAAGAAGGGATGGGGATCTATGTTGTGATAGTATATAGAGTCTTTACTCTCCAGGTCACTGGTTCTAATCTAGGTGAGGTAAATGATCTCAAAAAACAGTTACCACATGACAGATGTTCACTGCGCTATAGTATGTGAAACAAGCTGGTGGTCTCACTTCAACTTTCTAAAGAACAAGCATCCACGTTACAAGAAATAATGCATTTAGCACCACCTTGACAATCTCAGCAAAGGGGTCAGACACTGTAGCAGCAAGGAGACCCCTACTAGGTAAGAGATAACAAAATTGGTCCCTCAAGAAGAGGGTTGAGGTACATTGGCAGCACAGACTAGGGGAAGTTTGCAATACTGTTGCTCATGCTGTCCGTTTTCTGCGGACAAAGTATTTTTCTAGAACACTAACTTTAGTTTGTAAGGTAGAAAATACACTATGCCATTCCCTCTCAAAGTTCCACAATGAAGAATGGTTGGGAATATATAGTTCTGAATTTCATTCTACTTTTTAAAAAGTGAGCTTTTGTAAATAAAAGGGAAAGCCATAGATAACATTAAAACTCTGAGTTCAATGAATACAGGTATAGCAATCTAGGAACAAGTTAATGTGAGGTTTTTAGCTTGCATTCAGCAATTGTTTGTTTCTTGCAGTGTTCACCAAACATAATTTTCAAAACCTCAGAAATATAATTCATATTCCAACAAATTTAAGCAAGAATACAGTTCAACAAACACTTGATTGTGTTCTGTTGAGAACTACAGCAAGTGAAAACTCTCTCTCCAAGTTTGGTGGACAGTGGTTTAACATATTTACAGAATTTACTTCTACATTATTCACATATCCAAATAAAGACAAACACACTACCTATTAAGTTTTGTGTATGATTGTAATTGTGTACATTATCATGTAAACACCTTTACAGTAAAAAGAAAGAAACAAAATTTATTTTACCATTTGCTTTCTTCTGGACTATCTGAGGCCATACAGCTAATGTAGCATAGATGATCATAAACCAGACAGTGACTAGTGGAACAAAGTAGTAAAATTGGTAAGGTCGATCCATCACTATACATAACACCACAACCAGGAAATTGAGACGAAATAAAACCTGTGGATGGTTGGGATGAGAAGGAAGAGAGAAGAGTTTTTTTCATTTAGGATTACCATCAAACTGGGTTTTTCTTTAACACTATAAAAATTATATAAATATTATGCATATCAATTTAAACACCTACAATATTACCTTTCTTGAAATTTGAATGGCTGTCTCAATAAGCAGTTCGAACTTTAGCAAAGAAGTAGAACTGAAGGGTTGTAGTTTGTTGTTTGAATCAAGATACCATTTGATACCAACAGGGTAAGCCAGTCACATATTTTAAAAATGTATAGTGTACTCCCTCACATTAACTGGGCAAAAAAACCCTACAACACAATGTTTTCTCCAGTCATCCTTGTATTGGAACAACTGATTGTTATGAACAAGAGGGGACTTTGAGATATCCAATCATCCTTTCAAAAGAGAATAATTAATAGATCTGGTAGAAGACCTGGCAGGGGGTGATAGCTAGAGGGGTGAGACCTGAATGGACATTCCTGTACCAGACCATGGAGGGGAGAGGGTTAAAGGTGCAATTACTCTGAAGCTGTGACAGGGCCTAATAAGCACTCATTTGAGTGAAGCAGCCATTCCACCATCTTTTAGGGGAGCATGAATGATCTCCACTAAAACACCCAATACCTTTTTATTTTATTTTACTAATGACAAGGGAGGTCATGAGTCCAACATGCATACAGCAGCTTAAAGCTTCTAGAACTTAATTGAATGAAAATGGCTGTAGTTCAAACCAGAGATGACAGTAGTTTGTGCCATCCAAAGCAAGACCTGCAGTCTTGGAAGCAGGCAATCCAATGTGCTGGAGTGCTGAATTCAATTGCTCTTATCCACAGAGAAAGAAAAACTCCTTAAGACATAAAGGCCCATTGGTGCCAATTGGCAAAGGCTTCACACTGTTCTTTACAAACAACAACTGTCTCAGACCCCACAAACTCACTACACCTAATACTCCACCTTCATGGTAATTATCCATAGAGTAGCATGTGAGGTCTCTACTACAAGCTTGTAATGTACCAATACTCAATCATTGTGAGATCTGTGTACGGGTGTGTGTCACTCGGTACCCCAAAGCAACACTTTGGCACCCCCATATTTACCATGGTGATATAATTATATGTTTTATACAAAGTATGTCGTGTGATGTATCATTTTAAAAGTCTTGATCTGTTGAACATTAATATCCTATTAGATTGTACATGCTATAATTGTATGGGAAGTTATGAAGTTTTACTATGTGTGTTACTGTAATAAATTGTAAGGTTGGGAACACTCGCAACCAGCCCTTCAGGTACAACAATGGAGCAGCCAGACACTGATAATGGCCCATTAAGGGGAATACACATTCACAAGGACTACCCCGGGAATTGTATACATTAGAGACCTCTCAGAGAGAGCATGTAAACAATGGAGACTGTTTGACTCACGTCATAGCAAAAGATCTTTCCAGCAAGCTGGAGGAACTTATAAAGGAGGGGAAGTGACATTATCATTTGGCCTCTCTCTCCCCCTCAACACCTGGAAACATATCTGGAGAACAAAGTCTGATCTGGGGAGATGGTCCCAGGCTGAAAAGGAGAATCCCAGCTTGTGTATTAAGGATCTATACCATCAGGGTGAGACACTGCTTGATTTAAATCCTGTCTAGTTTATGGAACTCAGATTGTGATTTAATGTTTTATTTCTTAGGTAACCACATTTGATCTATATTGCTTACTACTTACAATCACTTAAAATCTACCTTTCTGTAGTTAATAAATCTGTTTTATATTTTACCTAAAACAGTGGGTTGTGCTTGAAATGCATGGGAAATCTGCTCAGGAACAAGAGCTGGTACATGTCCTCTCCACATTTAGGGAGGGGTGGACTGGGTAATAAACTTACACTGGTCAGGCTTCTGACCAAGGCAAGATAGTACAATTCTGGGGTCCTGGGTCTGGAGAGCTGTGGGGAATTCGCTGGAGCCTCTCTGTTGTTGATTCACAAGTGGCTGGCAAAAGCGTTCATGTAACTCAGCAGGGTGTGTCCCTGCCTGTGGATGTCTGTGTAAATGCAGTTCCTGGAGGGCTTGCAGCTTGTCACAGCATCACAGTGGGATAGGGATCCCAGGTTGGTGAGACAGAGGCCAAGGGCTCAGTGGTACCCCATTTCCAAGTTGCACACCGGGAAACCCATCACAGGGTGATATTTAAGAAATAATATAAATATATAAAAAATTATTCCCTTCTGGTTTTGGAGTGAAAATGAGTCAGCAGGAAATATGTCTGGGTGATCACCCTCCCTGGCTAGCTGATTATGTAACGTATTGCTCAACAGAGTAACTTTGGACCAACATAGACAAGTCAATGGAAAACCATACAAGACTCGCTATAAACATTGAAACCACTTGGAAATGAAAAGGAACAACATGACAGTGAGGGGATTGCCCTGTCTGTGAATAAAGACAAAAAACGTATTTGGTATATCTCAGGGTGGATCCATTCACTGAGGAGGTAAAGCGAGGGAGCTTCATGAAAGACTGGGTCCTAGCTCCTTGGGGCTATCAAGTGCTGCAAAAGACTGAACTTTAATAGTGAACTTTCCTATCTAATAATGAGTGTAGGCCCTAGTTTGTATTTTACAATTTTATTTTATATGCAACCATTCTATTTGAATTTTATTCTTAAATAAATCTTATTTTGGTTTACTATAATCAAACTCAAGTGATATGTGTGACACAGGAGTGTTGGTCTAAGGTAAAACTGTTAAACTGGGGTACACTCTTCCTTTGGGAACAGAGGATCTGGGATTCTGTGGGTATCTAGTGATCAGGGACTGGATACCATAGGGGGACACTTTGAAAGGACCCAGGGCCTGGGGTACATCTATTGTCAGCCTGCAGGGCAAATGCAGGGCTAGTATAGCCCAAAGGAGAGTACTTGAGTGGCTGACAGGCTGTTTGTGTGAGGGAGCTAACACTCAGCTTGCACAGGCAAGACTTCCTCGTGCTGGAGGGAGGTGGCAACGTGGTGGCTCACAGCCCTGGCTGCCCTAAGAAGCATCACACTCTTCACAGTGAGAAAATTTTGATTTTGTTTCCAGTGGTAGCATCCTGGATTCACCAAATATTTATCTATTTGTATAACAGCCAACAGAAAAATGCTCTAGTGGTATGTAAAATAGAATATCCACATTAAACAGACAAGATGGGGGGATGGGTTGGGGAAAGAAAGATCCAAAATGGATAATTTAGATAATTTGTTTCAGTCTTGCCTTTTCATAATATTACATTGGTTTATGTTCACCTCTATTTATTGTGCCCAATTTCTGATGAAAATATTAAGAATGATTATTTTTCACCTCAGCTTTTTATTATGTTTGTATTAGATAGACTAGATTGATCAGACTACATTAAATAGACCAGATGAGAGAGAGACAAGGACAATGATCAGTTTGTTATGAATACAGGTCTGTCGCATCTTAGGCGCATTTAACATGTGCGATTTCAGCTTTACACGGTCGGCAAAAAAACAAAACAAAAAAAAGAGAAAAATAACAATTTAAATACTGTTTCTGTAGTGCGGGCGATTCCGCCCGCCATTACACTCAATGTAATTTTGACTATACGCGATTTTCGCTTTAGGCACTGACTGTGGAACGTAACCCCAGCGTAAGATGAGACAGACCTGTATCAACCAAAATAATTTTAATCTCAGATAATTTAGCAAGCAGAGAGAGATCTAATTTGGGAATATTTTTATATAAATCAGTGAAAGATTTATTCTTACCTGACACACTCTATACAATCCAAAGTCTCCTTTGATCCAAAAGTATGAAAAATGCCCATAACCTGTTTGGAACAGATATGCAGCAACCAGAACCCGAACGTGCATATACACAGGCAAAAACTGTTGAGAAAAATAATTTACCCTTTTACAGAGGGCCACAGAAGTGCTCTCTCTCTCTCTTTTTTTTTTAAAAAACACTATTAATTGTAAATAAGTTCAGGGACAAAGAGGAGAAAGTTCTTCTGTATTTTAGGCTTGTTGTGTTTCTGTTTCATAAAACTTTCTGTCATTGTAAACCAACTGTAACAAAGGAAAGAAATATTATGACCTACTTACTACTACGTAAAGCAATTATTTCGACCTAGCCTCTCTCAAATTGTAAAATCTGAATAAACTTCTTACAACTGTATCAACAGCTCTACTTTCTTGTGGGTCTAAAACTGGATTAAAGGGGGAAAAAAGTGTTATTGAAAGTTTGCCCTTTAACAGTTTCAACTCCTAAAACACAAAAAAGCTGTCTCCAGCAAGTTTTTGTAACTAAGTTAATACAGTCTTCCACAATGAGAAAATAATTCCCCTTCACTGGATATATTGGGGCGGGGGAGGGGAGGGAGGAAAGATGACAAAAAACCCAAAACAGTATAGCCCCATTGATATCTTCACTTATTGAAGGAAATAATATAAATGAGGCCTCACAAAAATTATGTTTTCAAAATTAAAGGTTAAACGAGGAGCATAATGTGAACTGTTTATGATACTCAAGTCTAATAAATGCTTGGCTATTTTAACTTCTGTATCTTGGCGGTAAAAGCCAGAAGCTTATTTTTCCTTTAAAGCATTGAATCCAAATCACATTACTTTTTTAAAAAAATAATTCAATTCAAATCACTTACAGTGCTTGCTCCAGAGATATGATAAATCAAAATAACAAGCTGCATCCAGCCTTTCCATTCATCTGTCTGCTCTCTATTTAACATCTTAGTCTATGCAAAACAAAACAAGAGTGTTGCTATTCCAACAAGTACAACGAACATCTACAAAATGAGGAGAAAAAGTTCAAAACAATAAACTAGTTTATGGGCAGTTGGAGCTAAGAAGAAAAACATCTACACTAATGACATTATATAAAGTTCAGTGTGTATTAGATGTTGCCCCATAAATCAATGCTCATCTACTAGTTTGAACTAGGATTTGACTCTGATGCATTGTGGCCAGTTGATGGATGAACCCTACCAACAGCTGCACCCACAAAAATACTTTACCCAATGCACTTGCAAAAACGTCCTTTTGGACCTAATTACCAGTTTGTGTACAATTAATGAATTACCATATGCAACTATATATTTTGTGAGTGCATCAGCGATATCTTTCTGAAAATTTGACTTGTAATATTTTCGTGAATAAAAATGAATTCAATTACAATTCTGAACTGGGAAATGACACCAGCATGATCTTTACCTCTTTGGTGTTTTCGGTATAAAATACCCCTAAAACCAGGATGTAGATTATTGGTATGAAGAAAGATGAATGTGTATAAAATTTGTTTTCCTTCATGAATAGATTTGCTCTGTCACACAGATAGAAATAGGCCATGATTAGACCCAGCTTGAAGAAGGAGTATAACAGTGTCTCTAGAGTAGAAACAGGAGATGTATTGGTGACAGGTTTTTTCTCCTCTCCACTTTCCATATCAGTGCATGGCTTGTTTTTTCGATGATGATTACGATAAATAAAACTGAGAATTAAATATCCAATAATGGACAAAGCAAAAAAGCAAAAAGCTAGCTTCTGTATCAGAGTGAGAGGAGGCTGAGGCTGGCAACAGGAACCATCGATGGGCTTCAGAATCTTATTGCAGTAGACGTTCATAAGAATCATTGCACTCTGTCAAAGAAACAAGTAACTAGCTATCAAACATTCTCAGCATAGGAGATTTTTTTTCAAATATATTTACTAATATTTCACATTAGTAAAGAGGCATTTTCCCCTATCATTTTATATTTAAGCACTTCATATATGCGCACACAGCTAGTTACACACAAATTCCAGGATTAAAATAACCCATATTTTTAAGTATCAGAGGGGTAGCTGTGTTAGTCTGGATCTGTAAAAAGCAACAGAGTGTCCTGTGGCACCTTTAAGACTAACAGATGTATTGAAGCATAAGCTTTCGTGGGTGAATGCATGCATCCGACGAAGTGGGCATTCACCCACGAAAGCTTATGCTTCAATACATCTGTTAGTCTTAAAGGTGCCACAGGACCGCATATTTTTAAGTGTCCTGATGTAAACAAACAGTTTTAATTTTTATTATTGATTTTGAAAAAGCAACAAGAACCAAAGTCACGGGCGGGAGCACAACCCAAATAAGTAGACCTGGGAAGGTCTGCTATGGAGGGTGTGGAAATGTAATTCTTCTACCTCAAACTGCGGAATGGCAGCAAAACTGCTTTGCAAACATTACTGCAGACTCAGTATTGAAGTAACTCATGCAGCTTGCCAGCTGACCTGCACAGACATGGATCCAATAACCCACCTTCTGCCTATCTATCTATTAGCCCACCCCCACAACCACAAACTTCCTCCATGTTGTGCTGCAGGGAGCCTTTACTGAGATTTATATGGGATGATGATCCCCTGAATGGGTTCCCCACATCCCCCCAGCCTCCGCCACAACAGAATTACTACTAATATGCGGAGGATCCTGCACACTCACAAAAGGCGAGATTTAGGATTTAGCCCTGAGAGCAGCTCTCCAAAAAGTTGTGATTGTCATTCATTCATACAGAGGAAAGCAACAAATTTGCAGCTTGGATTCCTCGGGATGTGAAGGATTTAGTGATGGTCTCAATAGTGTTTAACATATAGAAAAAAACTACGTTTTTTAAACAGCTACATAGTTACTTACAAAATGGCAAGTAGCATCTTGTAAAATTTGTTTGCAAGATCCCAAAAGATACCCTTTCATCTGCTGGGGTCTTGCAAACAATTTCCTGGAAAACTCTTGCATGTCATTTTTAAGACTACAATCATCAAGGGACACCAAAGTCCATACTATCTGCCATTATGAGTACAACATGTTCAATTAAAATCTTGCTCCATTATTAATTTTTTGTTATGTTGACTAACAATGAAAGTACTCACTGTTTCTCTGCTTGATTCTGGGAGATGCAGGCCATCTGAAGATTGAATGATAGTTTCTTGTGCTATGAGTTTAGAAACGCTGAACACTTTAACTTTAGCTTTGGAATTTCTGGAGCTGCTGTTCAGAATACTGATTGCAGCTTCATTGTAAGCATCTATTTTCTCATTAGTGATCATTTTCCTACTGTCACTCAACATATCTTCATAAACAGGATCTGAATTTAAAAGAATGTTAAGCTTTATTAAAAAAACCAATCATCATAACTCAAATTCTATAGACTATAAGATTAATCCTAATTTTTCAGCACTACGCTGGATGGTAAAATTAACATTTTACCATTTGTATTATAGTCCTTGTTTTTTTATGAGGTTTAAGACCAATAGTTCACTGTAATCTTCAATCTGGCATGCAAGAATTTAGTTTGGGAGCAAGTTTTCCTAAAACCTCTCAGAACATGTATTTAGTCATCTAGTAAAAAAGAGATTTTCTCGTCTCAAATGCTCCTGCACATTTCAATGAATCCACATCAATAGTTTGGGATTTTTTATTTTTTTTAAGTCTAACTCTGCTTGTTCAGAATTCATAATGTTGAATATGTCAATTGAACATTAAAATGGGTACATCAGCCATCAATACAGTTAAGGTTACATAAGTGTTTACATTCTAATCTAAAAATCAAGAAACATCAAAATTAAAACAGGATTAGCTACCTTAATTCTGTCCCCTCATATTCATTACATCACAATCTTTAAATTCATGATCAAACACTAGTTCTCAAATAATTCAATACATCGCACTATTTTTCCTATAGCCTTAAAAACACATTAAAACACTTATATTTTTCATATCTCTATACTTGTGCTATTTTCATAGTCCAGTTTACCTTTAATGACATTGAATTTTTATACATGTTCTCCAAGTATATATTTTAATGTAATATATCACTTTTTTCCCCAATCAGCAGCACAGCTGGATGGAGTTCAGGATATGAGGCACTTAACTGAACTAATGTAGATGGCCTCTGTGTTTCCGCATAATTTTCACTATTACTTTATGACATGAAACTGTAAAACGTTGTGCAAGAATTGGTTATGTTGTGCAAGAATTGGTTATTTTGTATGTTTCATACTCCTCCTGGGGGAATTCTCCAACAAAAAATTTAAAATTCTGCAACAAAAAATTAACAATTCTGTGCACAATAGTTTAAAATTCTGCAGAATTCTGAACATTTTATTTGTCAAAATAACAATATAATCACACCAGTTTCAATTATTTTTGGTCATTTATTTAAAAATACCTGTTAGCAAGTATATCTGTAACAATACAGACAACAAAAAAAGATTCAGGAAATGTTTTTTGACAAATAGATTCCTTATTAGGCATATTAATACAGAATTCTGAGTAATAATTCATTTAAACTACAATACAGGACTGTATTTCCTGCATCCCTCAGAAGCAGTGCAAAGGCTTGGGGGAGTCAGGGATAACAAAGGAGCTGAGGGAGGGGGAAATAAATTGCTGGGAAGGAGCCTGGGTGTGAATTTGGAAGGTTGTTGGGTATGGAAGGGAAAAGTTTGGAACAGGTTTTTTTGGGGCGAGCGGGGAGGGATTGTTAGGGATCTTCCCCTATGCAGGCTATGGCTGACCCCTAGCCTCTTCCATTCAGTCAGGCACATCTACTCCTGTCCCTTTGTGTTCCTGCACCCCCAAGTGTCCTTGCAGACCCCCGTCCATGTGTCCCTCCACCCCCACCCCATCCCTACGTGGCTCTGACCCCTTCCCCATGTGTCTCTGTGCTCCCACCCAGCCACTCCCCTGTCTCTGTGTCCCTGTACCCCCTCCCCCGATGTGTCTCTATGCCCTCACTCAGACACCCTCTGTTGCTATGTAGCTCTGCACACCCTCCCCCATCACCATGTGGCCCTGCACTTCCCTCCCATGGGCCTGTGCCTCCACTCCCCCATTCAGCCCCTGCCCCAGTCTGTTCTCCCCGATTACCCCTTATGAGCTCCTCTGTGACCCCCAGCACCCGACACCATCTGTCTCCCCATAGCCCGTCTCCTGACCTGGCCGGACAGGCGCTGCGAAGAAGGCAGGCTCTTTGTCTTCCCTAGCTGGCTGGGAGCTGCTGCTATGGTCTATTGCCACAGCGCCCTCTGGTGGGCAAAAGGCAGAACTGCAGAAGTTATTTTCTGCTGGGAGCTGCTGCTGTTCTTGTGCCACAGCGCCCTCTGGTGGGCAAAAGGCGGAACTGCAGCAACATTTCAGCAGAAGCTTCTTTCTGTGCAAAAAATTAAAAATATGCACGGCTCATTAATTATGTGCATGCAGTAGCACAGAATTCCCCCAGGAGTAGTTTCACACTGATGACTTTAATGGATTGATGTACAGAATAGTACCAAACACTATCACATGCCCCACATGTGTATCTGAGGGCTTAATCCTGCAAAACACTAATGTGCACAGTGCTTCCTACCATGAGCAGTCCCTCCCAGGTTTCAGACACAGATACTGATGGCTATGGGGCTAGTTAGAGTAGTAAGCACTACATTTAATAAGTATGCACAAAATAAGGTCATAAAGTTGTAGAATGTATATTACATATATTGTATTATTTGAGAAATTGTATGTGATCATATAATTAAAAACGAATACAATACATAGGTGAAAGAGTTGAGACCGCATGTGTAACCTGGACTTTGGCAAAACTTGACTTGTAAACCACTAACTAAGCAAGCTTAACGTTTTCTTAAATTTCTCTGCTGTTTTTTTATTTAAGTTAAAATTCAGTTATTAAAGTTTGAAAATATTTTACACCAACAGTCTATTTGATGTATGTAATTAACTGTAGTCATGGTTGCTTATTGGGTGTGGGTATGCCCAGCCTTAGTGCTCCTCTTTGGAAAATGTATCCCTTTCTGGCTAACAGCTAACTCCATAACATAAAAAAACTTGAAAGGAGCATTTTCTCTTAAGCTTTATCATGGGTTGTATAACTCAAGCAATTTGAAGAAGTTTTATTACAGGAATCTTTCAACAAGAAGTCAGTGTTTAGGGGGGATTAAGATTCCCTCCCTCCCCCAGGAAAAAGAAATCAACTGCTTATGTCTAGATATAAATGTCAACACATGTAATTTCAGATAGCTGTAACTCATGAAGGTAGGAACTGGTCAAACACATGGAATGTACAGTCAAGAGGAAATGGGTGAAATCTAGCATACCAATATTGACAAAGATCCAAGTCTTCCAGATTTTATATCAAAATTTTCTGAATATTTATGCATACACTAGACTACTTATGAACAACCTCGGAGCAAAGCAAGGCAGTGAAAGATGGTTTAGTACTCCACAGCCTGCAAAATTGTGATTCAAATCAGACAATTACAGCACAAATTATAGTTATCTACTGTATTTTACCTTGTAAGACCCAGTATACATCACTACTCTCTGCTAATTTTTCCAAAAGAGGTGCTATTGAAGTGATATTGATTTTATATTGCGTGAGTGCTTCATTGCTGCCATTGTGAATCTTGATAGACCACTAGAAGATTAAATAAAAAAAAATCAGATTTTTTCTCTCTAAAGTATATACAACCATAAAACTTTACTGATTCCACACCATCATTAGCAGCTATTTTCAATACTATTATAGAACCTGTTTATTTCTTAAATATTTTAATAATTTTTATAGCATTAAAAACATTTTTTGGTTTGACAGGCTAGGCGCATAACAGAAGAATAAACTATTATCATAAAGAGTACCAAGATATACGTTGCAACTGTTTAACGTAAGGGTGGCATTTGTCTGCTCAAAAACTGTTCTGATACAAATTTGATTAGAAACCTCACTGACTTGATGGAATAGTATTAAGGCAGCAGTAACATATAGAGACAAGATTTAGGGTCAAATCTGTGGACTTTATTCAAGCAAAACTCTCATTGACTTGAAGCAGAGGTTTGTATGAGCAAAGCCTATCGGGTTTTAAGTTCTTTAGTGTATTCATTCATTTAATGGACAGTATCTGAAAAAGAAAGTACCTGAAAAACAGTACTATACCAGAAACAGCTATGAAGATTTGTGGTGGTATCTATTTAAGTACTATGGTGAAGGGGAACATTTATGTATCCAAGTGCCTCCCAAATATTTAAATAAAGAAATTACAATAACAATCTTTCTGTCTTCCTTCCCAGCCTGTAATAGAAATAGTTTAGGAAATTATTTAAATTATTGTTCTGTGTGTGTCTGTGTTGACATTACAGAGGGAACGCAGAGACGAAAAGATGAGTTTTGTATTAGCCTGAACGTGGTGAGGCCTGTAGCCATTGTAATGTTTTGTGGGAGTGAATTACATGATCTAGGTCCATCTCCTATGAAAGGTCTTTCTTTATTATTTCATTATTTCAGTGGAAAATAGCTATTGTGAGAGGTCATAATCTTGGAGGGAGAAACAAATTTATTCAGAAGCTTGCCCAATCCCATAGAGAACCCTGAATATCAAAACAGATACTTTTGCTAAGCCCAAGAAGGGGCACAGTATTCCGGCCAGTCAAAGACAGAAATGGGAATTTCTGCTACCATCAGTACTTCAGCATCAAATAGTGCTGAGGAATCCCATGGACCCAAAGGCTGCAGAACAACTTAATCTGAGGGCAGACATGCTTGGTAGTGGCGGGGGTGGGGGGGCATAGGCAGCAGAAATAGGAAAGTGCTTCAGAAACCTATGAGTATTACTTCAGTCTTGTACAAGTTCAACTTTGACCAACTTGAAGATGGTGTTGTTTAGTATGAGATAAAGGACATAGAGAACGGAGTGTCATCTGTGTATTGCTGGCTCATTTTTCTCTTTCATATCCACAAAGGCAAAGTTTGAAGTCAAAGGTGATGCACTTGATTGCAGTTACCTAGAAGGGGGCATTTTGGTACTGGACTATCTATAAGCAGTAGTCAGGGAACAATAGTTGTGCTTCACTGGTTCTTCTAGTTCTTGACTGGGTAGAGTTTTCTGTAAATACATTTTGGAATTTGATTTTCAGGATAGACTATGGTGGTGATTTTTTCATCTTATATCAGGGAGTTTTCATTTCTATATGGGGTAGGACATGGTGCAATCAGGACTGGGGGACTATTCTTGAGTTTCTTAAGTTAGTGTCCAGCCTTAGGCCATGTCTACAATACAGGTGCTATAAAGGCTCACCTACAGCACTGTAGCTATGCTGTTTCAGTACCGCAGCATAACTGTTTCCTAAAATGATGGAAGGGGTTTTTCCGTCGCTGTAGGTAATCCATCTCCCCAAGCAGCAGTAACTAGGTCAATGGAAGCTTTCTTCCCTGGTTGCTTCTACACCAGGAGTTAGGTCAGCACAGCCATGGTTCTCAGGGGTGTGATTTTTTCACACCCCTCAGCAACATAGTTATGTCAATCTAAATTTTAAGTGTAGACCAGGCCTTACTATTTTGTCTGGGGTATTGGTGTCTGTGTGTGAAAGAGAGACTTCTAAGAAAACTTATGAGAAACAAAAAGCACAGAGTTCAGATAGGAGTTTTAGGCTATCATCTGTGTGGATGCTGAAGTCTCCCAAGATGGTGTGATGCTGGCAGACCAGGTACTAGCTCATGCCAAGACCCACAGGCCTCACGGAACATTGACAAATGCATAGCTGGAAACCAGTCTGGCTCATCTGTGTGTTAGTATTATTAAAACAGGTATTAGATTTATAAATATGTGTTTAGACTGTATGAAATTCTTGGAAGTTGTTGTGTGGATTAATCTCACACATAATATCTGTGTCCCATGATATAAGGTAATATTTAGGTGTTTGCTCTGAAACTATAAAGCCCCACAGTCAGGAGAGATGCATTAACAAGTGTGAAATACTAGTTTACCACAAGAAGTGTCATCTCCTGCCCAATGAAACAAGGCCCATAGACATCAGACAAGCTATTGTGCAACATCAGGGGACAAAAGACTTTGATGATTGCTCCCCCCACACCCATGAAGAGGAAACAGTGCACAAACACTCATCCCATCAGCTTGAGTTTTGGGGAGAAGGGAATAAAAATTCCTGTCAGGAAGAAACTGTTATCCCTATGCTGCTTGAACTCTGAAGGGCAAAGATTTCTAAGCATAAGCAAGGGCCCCCGAACTGTTTAGCTTGGGTTAGCCCTAAAGGACATATAGAGCTTGCATATTACAACAGTTTCTATCATCTTCTGAAACCAGATTATAACTCATTTGTGTGTATATGTATACCTGCTTTATTTTTTTAAATAACTCATTTATTTTCTTTAGTGAATAATAATTAATAAATCATTTATTAATAAATAGTTAATAAAACTTCAGTTAGTTTATTATAGCATTGGCTACAAGCATTGTTTTTGGTTTGAGCTCTGAGATGCAACTGACTTAAGGAAAGTGACTGGTCATTTGGACCTGGGAGTAGCCTGAATATCATTTTGATTTTTGGTGTAAGGCACCATCTGTCACAAAGGAAAGCTTGCCTGGGGTGGTAAGATAGACTGGAATAACAAGGGGACTGTCTGTGACTCCACATCAAGGCTGTTATAGTTTTTGAGCAGTTCATGCTGGATACTTACTTAGTTGGTGAAATTTAATCATAGAATCACAATCAGTTTGGGGTTTGTGCCCTAGTTTGTAACAGTCAGTCCTGATGCTGGTATTCACGTTTGTCAGCCACTCCAGACAGCTGACATATGGCTCTTGTGAACTTCTTGACTACATTGGACTACATGTATATATCACCTCTTCTTGGAAACTTTTGGTGTCCAGAGGTTTATAGATTAGCAGGACTCCTAGACAGGTATCGTCTCCAAATTCACAGATCAAATAGCAGCACTCAAAAGATTTTGTTTCCAGTGTGCTACTCCTGCATTTGAGCCAGGGTGCACTGATTTAAACCAAACTATTTAAATTGACAAATTTAATCATGATTTAAATCTGCAAACAGGAAACCTTGATTGAAATTGATGATTTAAATCATGTTTTGCATTTGTACTTTTCAGTTATTTTCCTAAAGAAAGGCTGATTCTTCTTAGTTGGTAATCATTAAAACATGGTGAATTGCAACTAAGTATAGCCTTTATATTAAATTGGGGTATTTTTGCTAACCGGGATGATGTCATTAAAGGTGGGAGATAGTAGGAAGACTAGTCCATTTCCTGAAGTGGTGCTGATACCTGGCATTGGGGGAAGGGCCCTACTCCTCTTCCTACTGGAAGTGGGGAGAGAATGAGGATTAGTCTACACTACCAAGTAAAATGATGCAACTTACGTTGCTCAGGGGTGTGAAAAAGCCACCCCCCTGAGTGACAAGTTACAGTGACCTAAGCACTGTACACACCCACACTATGTCGGTGCCAGACACTCTCCCATCGGCATAGCGCATCTTCACCAGATGCACTACAATGGCGCAGCTGCATCGGTGCTGCTGTGATGATGTAGCACTCTAGTGTAGACTTGCCCTGACGTTCAGATTCCTGAATCAGGATGTCAAAACTCACAGTCTCAGGAAGCACAGATACTTAGGTGGCTCCTGGCAGCAGCAGAAGGGGGTATTCAACAAGTCGACAGAGCACAGAAGAGTTTAAATTAAGTAAGAAGAATGGATTCCTGGAAGGAAAACCTTGCAGACAGGACCATTATCAAGGTCAATATTTTTTTGAAAATAATATTCATTAAAAAGTTGATATTCAGTTGGCCAAATTATTAATACAAATATTTAAAACGTTTAAGAAGTACCTTGGCTATCTTCTCATAGGATTTGTTCTACATTTCATCCATGCATCAAGCCAAAACACAATCTTTAACAATGAAACGGTGAGCAAATATTACTCTGATATTTTAAAAAGTATTGGTTATAACAAGAACAAGACAATTGGAATACAAGATTGATGATCAGTGTATGTTTTCCCTTTTGAAATTAAAAGTAACTACTTCCTCTTGTCACTTTTCTAGAAGCATACGTATTCTCCTGTAAATTCACACCAGAATGTCTACTGCATGAAAAGCTTACCGTAGCAGCTCCTGCTACAATTACATGAGGTTTTGCAATAGAACCCTAAAACACAAAGTAAAAAAGAGTGATTAGTCTTCTAAATATTTTCACAAATCACTAAAAGCGATTATTCAATTTATTGCACAAGTTATTTAACATCTGTGCCTCGATTTTATCACATCTCAGCTGTCTTGTGAGGCTAAAGAATTTGTAAAGCAGTGAGATCCTCAGATGTAAGGTTCTATGTAAGTGCAAAGTATCATTATGTTTCCAGATGTTCCAAATCAATTATTGAGTTAGGCAATATTTAAGTTTGCTCTTTAAAAGGTATCCAGGCATCTACTCATGAGATGCTATGCATTGCTAAATCACACAAACATGCATTATAGCAGCTGAAATAAATATTCTAGACATGTTTATTGTTATGAAGTGGCCAATGACTGAAGATATTTGTCCATAAAAAAAAGAAATTTGTCTAAATAATTAAGTGATAATCATATTATTATTATTATTTGTAATATTGTTGTGCCTAAGAGTCCTATACATGGACAGGACCCCACTATGCTAGGTGCTGTACTAACACAGAACAAAGACAATCCCTGCCCCCAAAGCGTTTACAATCTAAATTTAACACAAGATACAGGTAGAGGCAGAGGGGGTTGCAAGAAAAACAATGAGACAATATTAGTCAGCATGATGGGTAGTGGTCTCTGCACACCAGCAGCCTAACTGCTGTCAAGCGTTTTGTAGCCATCATGGAAAAGGACAATTTTAAAGAAGGTTTTGGAGGAGGATAGAGAGGTAGCTTCACAGATGTTTACAGGGAGTTCCTCCCAAACCTGAAGGGCAGCAGGGGAAAAAGCGCAGAGATGTTTGTTTGAAAATTTAACATGTGGGCAGTGGAGACTGGCATAATGAGCCATTATAGAATCATCAAAGGAAGAAACCCAGAAATGGCAACTAGTCTTTAGTAAAAGTCAATTTGTGAACAACTTGACTAATTATCAAGAGAGATACATGCTCAAGTTGTTATACTTGTTAAGTATAGTAATTTGTTAACCAGCAATTTTAAAGAACACCTGACATGCTGGATAGAATAAAAACAAGAATCATATTAGACAGTAAGTATAACTAGTGCATAATTATACGATCCAGTGCACCCCTCCAAGTTTGCAAGAGTTCACCAGATATTACAGAGCTGTGGGATTCTTTGGAGACTTTCATTTGAGCTCTAAACTCCTGAGTCCACATTGTGAATTTCTGCAGTTTGTGTTAGCTTGTTCTGTGTGAATACATCCTGTTGATATAATAGATGTAACACTATATCTTTTCAGAGGTCTTAGTGTATAACTTGATCTCAATTTTTTAAATGATTATTCTCCTTTATCTACATCCAGAACTTGTACACAATATGAGTTAAGCACATGGAACAATAGGAGACTAGGTCCCTCAATCTGTTGGTATTTTCTAAAGTCGGTATATTTTTAGAACACACCTCAGTCCAAGATTTGATACGTTGCTTCATAGATCCATTAATTTCTGGATACCACAGGAAATCCTGTAAAAAGAATGTATTAATACCTCTGAGTAAATTTAAGAATAGCTCATCATTCAGAAAATGCATGTGTATATCAACTGCAAGCAATGCATTTCATACACAGAAAATTACACTGCTCCAAATTTTGCTTCATTTCTTTACTAGATTCATGGACCAATCATAGATGAAAGATCTGATATCTTAATCAGCCAGGAACAAAGGATAAAATAAATGGGAGTTTTGTCATTTACTTCAATGGAGCCAAGATTTCACATAGAATCTAAACCTTTAAACCAGTTGGAAGTGAAGAGTCTCAGTTTTCCAATAATATCAAGGACAGAAACAAATGTTTTAAGGTTTACAAAGGATCACATCAGGGTATTCTAGTTAACTTTTAGCTTCGTTCTCCACAACTTTTAGCAACAGCTATCTTGCAAATCTCTGAACCAGAAAACCAATTTTCTGAAAGCTTAATATTCCAGATTTCAAACTATGTTGAGTCCTAACATTTGGCCCTAGCATTTCACGTTTCTGGCTTCTAAAAACAGAGCAGAGGGAAACAAAAAGGGCTAATGACTTGCACTTTATTAAAATCATTCTCCTCAATAAAAATAAAATCTCTCAATTAATTCCAAAAGATTTATGTAAAACTTTATTTGTACTTCAGCTAATGTTATTCCCTCTCCATTTAAGGCCCAAGCTGCTACTTGACAGCATAAGTAGTTTCTGCTTCCACAATCAAGAGGTCTCCTAAAAATGTACAGTGGAGACGGTGTCAGATCAAAGGGAAAATACAAAACGAAGAATTGTAAGAAAACGTTACAATGAAGGCAGACAGACTGGCCTAGCACAAAGTTCTCCTCTCCTGAACACAACACCGACCATCCTTTTTAAATCATAACTCCCTCCAAAGACCTAAGTAATCCACTCAACATGCACTCTCTTGATGAATTATATGGAAAGGAGTGGGAAGAAAGTAATGCTACTGAGGTCTTTGTAGGAGGAAGACCCCACTCCCAGACCACTGGGGATGCGGAAGGAGAACAGAGTTCTCCTCAAACCCTACCCACAACCCCCAAGTTTTTGTGTGTGTATGTGTGTTTTTAAAAACCTTCTACACTGGTGATGCATCTGGCTCACTCTGTTACTGCAATCAAAGTGGACCCGGGGCAGAGAATTGGTTGCGGCGGCACAGAAAGCTCATCTGCATTTACCACATTCCTTGCTCCAAGTATCACAAGCTCCTTCCATTGGAAGGGCCAATTATGAGATCTGATGAAAGGACTAATATTGTATGTCACTACTATTGAGTCCAAAGGTCCTGTAAGATAATGGAAATGATTGGGGAAAAACACACTCCTCAAAGGACCTTACTCAGATTTCACTAAACTTTAAGATACAAATCTTCGGGGGGGGGGGGAATCCGATCATAAATGGTGCTGAGCACCTTCAATCCTGATTGACTTCTGTTTAATTTGTGACTGATCAGTATCTCTGAAAAGAGGTCCTTAATTGTTTTCACCAGAAGTATAGGGGGAGCATACAAAAGTATACATTGATTATTATAGCTTGGAGCTTATACCACAAAAAACTTACCACTTTAATTGATGCAGATTTGTCTTCAAAAAGAATGTTTCCATGCTGCCAAAATAAAAAGCAAGTTAAACCTGTTCTACTGGAAGGTAGCGTATGTTCAAATACCGATCCCTCTCATCTCTAGAGCCCTGCAAATCTGCAGCTATCCTTGGACCATTTTTGTGGATCGAGTGCGGATACAAGTTTTGTATCCACACAGGGCTCTACTCATCTCCCATCTAAGGCCTCATCTACACTAAAAAGTGTTTGCTAGTACAGCTCCTAGAGGAGACAGTTTATACCAGAAAAATAGTTGTTTTATCTGTACAGCTTATACCACTTCCCAGAGGAAATAAGATATACTAGCAAAAGTTGTTTTTTTGTTGCTGGTGTAACTGATTTTTTCATGCTCCTAACTGATCTAGCTATGCTGGTAAAACTTTGAAATGTAGCCCTGGGAACACCACAGCTTTCTATTACCAAATGATTCAAAAAGTCTGAAATCTTTCCTTTCTAGACATCACTATTTTCCTTAATATTCCTCTCAAAGGACTGAAATAGAAACAAAACATTTTCCTCTCACACTTCCCTGGTCTATACCACTAGTATGCCTACTTTCATGCTCCCCCTGTACTCTAACAGCTGAACCAATTTTGCTCAAAGTTTCCAGAAAAAAATAAAATCACCACAGGCAGAAATCAAGCCTGGAATATGTAATTCATAACTTACTGACTGAAAACAGGAGATTAGAATGGAATAAGTTAGGCATCCTTAATTACAGTAGACACAAATACTCCTTTAACATTAAACTGAGTTGTATTATTTCAGTTTCAATCCCTGAAACAAAAAGGACAAGTACAATTTCCCTCCACAAACTGAGCTGAGGTACTGTAGACAAATATACCCATTCTTTCTCCATAAGCCAGTGATTCCCCCTACTCAGCCATCCTGAAACTTCAGATATCTTCCAATGTCTGTTAAATGCACTGTCAACCCCAGCAGTTTCATAAGCATTTGACACAAAGGTCTTCCAGCTCAGAACCAACCTAACTACTCCTCCCCACCAAACTCTCATAAATTGCCAAACCACTCCCCACCTCTGGCAAGTAATCCAACACCAACCCCCAGGCTAGGAAAACTCCGGTTATCCAATCAGCCAAACATCTGGCTTTGACAAGTGAAATTTAATTACATGCTGCCTGCCAGATAGACTGCTATCGTGCATTTAAATACCCTGGTTGTTTTAAATAATTGACAAGTGTGATAAATGAAGGGGAGGGGGGATCTCTCTTTTATGGACACCCAGCTAGCCAGCAGCTATAAAATCCCTCTTAGTAGCTGTTCTCTAATTGCTCTACCTGTAAAGGGTTAAAAAGTCTAACTGCTATGCATAGGTAAAAGAAAGTGAGTGGACACCTGGCCAAAAGAGCCAATGGGAAGGCTAGAACTTTCTAAAATTGAAAAACGACTCCCCTTTGTCAGTCTGTGGTTGCTCTCCGGGGAGAGGCAGACAGAGCTGCAGTTATGCTGTAAGAAGCTTGGGGCCAGGTATGAAAAATCCTCAATATCATACCTAGAAACTACTCATTTGAACCCCAGGTATGTAAGTAGATCAGGAAATGTCCAGGAAGACGCAATTAGGTTTCTCTGTTTTTATTTATTTATGGCTTAGGGTTAGCACAGAGGAGTCCACAAGTGTTTTTCTTTTGCTTGTAATCTTTAAGCTGGACCTCAAGAAAGCTATTCTTGATGCTTAATCCTCGTAGTTTTTTTTTTTTTTTATTTTAGCAAAAGCTTAAATTCCCAGATGTATTTTCTTTCTTTTTTTTTTTATTAATAAAGTTTACCTTTTTTAAGAACAGAACTGGATTTTTGTGTCTTAAGAGGTTTGTGAACATGTTGTTTAATTAGCTGGTGGCAACAACTGATTTCCTTTTTTCCCCTCTCTCAGCTCTTCCCCAGAAGGGTGGGGGGGTGAAAGGGCTTGAGGGTACCTCACAGGAAGGAATTCCCAAGTGCGCCTTTCTGGGTTCTCAAAGGGATTCTACACTTGGGTGGTGGCAGCATCTACCACTCCAAGGTCAGAGAAAAGCTGTAACCTTGGAAGTTTAATACAAGCCTGGAGTGGTAAGTACACCTCTACCCCGATATAACACTGTCCTTGGGAGCCAAAAAAATCTTGCCGCGTTATAGGTGAAACTGCGTTATATCGAACTTGCTTTGATCTGCCGGAGCGTGCAGCCCTGCCCCCCAGAGCGCTGTTTTTCCGTGTTATATCCGAATTCATGTTATATCGGGTCGCGTTATATCGGGGTAGAGGTGTATTAATTTTTAGAGTCCTTGATGGCCCCCACCTTCTGCACTCGAAGTGCCAGAATGGGGAATCAGCCTTGACAACAAGTCTGACCTGAAGCTGAATACAAACCCTGAACAGCAGACGAAGTTAATGATTTGGCTGTCTGATAGACTATATAACTATAGTCTATCTCTGGCTCCACTTAGCAAGCTGTGCTTCACGCTTATCTTTAGAAAATGAACACACAACTGTTTTTCAGTGGAATTTACAAGAAAAGCAAGGCAGAAAGCTATTTTTAATTTCAGCCCCAATCAGACTTGTATATCAGTCAATGCATCTAGGATTTCAGTGCAGATTAAATCAGCAATTAACCTTTCAAGAAGTGACTTACAACAAGACTTGAATTAATACTGGCTAAAAGAACAAAACAAAACACTGGCATAGATCAGATTGGCTCCCTCTACTGGTGGCTCATCAGCTTGCTATGAGGAGACCCTGCTATTAGTTCCCTGGGTGTTTTAAGGCTCTGAAGTCTGAACAAAGCCCACTGTCCCTGTCTTTGGGTCCCTAGGGACATCTCTGGAGCACAGATCTTCTGTCTAGGCTGCAACCATGTGGCCCAGCTTCCTAGCCCCTCTTGTCTCACTGCTGACTCCTGAGCTCCCCCTGCCCCCAAGCTTAAACACACCTTTCCCAGAACTCCAAAGGTGTAAGCATTCTAATTTCCCCTCTTCAAAGGGCCACATGGTAGGTGTAACATATAACACAGATACTACCATGTTATTGCTCTTTACTTAAAAATGACAAATACATAGAGGGGATAGATCAGGGGTCGGCAACGTTTGGCACACGGCTCGCCAGGGTAAGCTTGCCAGGGCCGGGCTAGTTTATTTACCTGCTGACGTGGCAGGTTCGGCCGATCGCGGCCCCCACTCGCCGCGGTTCGCCGTCCCGGGCCAATGGGGGCGGCGAGAAGTGGCACGGGCGAGGGATGTGCTCGCCGTGGTTTCCCGCCGCTCCCATTGGCCCGGGATGGCGAACCGTGGCCAGTGGGGGCAGCGATCGGCCGAACCTGCCACATCAGCAGGTAAATAAACTGGCCCGGCCCACCAGGGTGCTTACCCTGGCGAGCCGCGTGCCAAACATTGCCAACCCCTGGTATAGATCATATAGAAAACAACACACATCCTGAACACAATGCCCCTCACTGTAGCTCACTCTTCCCTTGGAGGACCATCTATGTTCAGATAGGTAGATGGACAGAAGGAACCTGCCTCAACCTCATCCAGTTCTTGCAGCGGTCTCCCGCATCTTAAACTGGTGAAACATTACCAAAGAACTCCCAACAGAGCAGCTTTTGTAACCTTCCAGTCCCTCTGTCAGGTGATCTCCTGATCAGCCTCCTCAGGTGACCAGAGCCCAATACTAGATGACTTTGTTACCAAGTGACCCCTCCCCATCTAGCCAATTCTTGGGGTAGACATTATCTTACTGTCTAGGATGTTTGTACTTGAATAGAGGACCATACCAATTTAACAACTGTCTATTGTCAATCCTGCATCACTATGCCTTGGCATTTCAGTCCAATATGGAGGTAAAGAGATCACTGAGAAGGCACCTTGTCCCCACAATCAAAACAGAGTTTGCAGCTTGGTAAAGATACATAGAGAGAGTTCATAATCGGACAGAGAATTCATAAATTGTACAGACTGTACAGATTTCCAAGTCATCACACACTGTGACAGCCATATTTTCTCATCAGAAAAACAAATCTCACTTAGTTGCCACTGGACAAGCCACTTTAGTTGAACAGCCTAGGAAAGAAAACTATCATCTGCTGAACCCTCCCCCTGCAAACTTCCCACTTCACTTCTCAGGATGCCAAACATTCCTGTTATCACCCTCTGACAATTGCTTGGGCCCAATCTCCCTATCAAGTGCTTGATTTGTTTCTCTGCAGAACTATGCTACATGGTTCCCTTTCCTGAATGTTAGGATAGCAAGTAGTATTATTTCCCAACAAATGCTCATTCCAGACATCAAAGTCCTTAGAAAAAACCCAGTTTCAGGTGTTTTCAACCTGGAAATTAAGTAAAGTTTTAACAGTTAAGTGACAAATTGGTGGGGAAAAAGACAGTCTTACCTTATTTCCTTCTTCCTTGACTTGAGGGTTTATGAGTTTTACAAAAGAATAAAACAACTGGCGAATTCTGGAATCTCCTATAAATGCAATATGTTTGTCTAGGAGGCAGTTTTTTGCTTCACTGCAAAAAGAAACAGCATTACAAAATTAACATATTACATTATTTAAGGAATCAATTTAATGAAGGATATTGACAATTCCTTAAAGGAAATCTTGAATGTTATACAGAAAATTCTAAACATTACATCTAACTCTTAAGAAGGGTAAATTGTTTTGTTTTTTTTAAATACTGAATGCATTACATATAACAAGGGATAAGTATGAAATAAGGAGCCACCCTGATCATTTGATTACACAAATTACTGTAGGCATGAAAGGACTCTCTTTCCCATTGGGTTGTGCTAAAAAAAAAAAATCAAAAAGACTGAGAAGTTGTATAACTTTATTAAGTAACAGAATAATTTAGAGTGATAAAGGTATCTGTCATGGTTTCTATATTAAGTGAATGAAGAGAAAAGTGATAGGTACTTTTATTTCTCAACAGTTAGTACATTTTCTTATTAAAAAACTCTAAAAAAGGAATATACATTAACTATTTGGGATATTATAACTAAGAATCATATTTTACCTTTAAATCACAATTTGAAACCATATAAAAAACATGATACACCTTGAACTATCTTTAAATTCTTCATAATAAACAAAATGTGCAGTATAAATTATTACTACCACTCTTTATCTATTTATATTTAGTAGCACAATCCTATTATGCTTAGCACTCTAGACATATAATGAAAAGAATATCTGCCACAAAGGACTTATACTAAGGGCCCTTTTCTGATCTCTGATAAATTATGTATTTCACTGTAACCCATTTAAAAACAATCAGATGCAAGCATGAAGACAGTCAAAAGAGAAGAGGCTATAGGGACTGAAAAGACTGCAGTCCAGTAAACAGATTTCTTACTACCTTCCCCTGTAGAGAACAGAATAAAAATAAAAGAATGTAAGGTGATATCCTTACCTATTTTTATATTTATGCATCATACAACTGTGGGGCTGCCATACTTTTTCCCCAAGAAATCTCCCACTGGAGAGAAGATATTCACATGTATCATCACCTTAAAAAAATTACATTAGAATTAGAATCCAACTACAAAATGTATCATGCAATATCTTAACCACCAACTACTTTATTTTTTTAAAAAATAAATAATTGAAGTTTGAACCACAAAAAGATAAGAAATCATTAGCACTAACTAGAGCCAAGTATACTGTAAGGAGGTCCCGCACAAACTTCTCCATGTAATTTTGCCATTTATTGCACCTAACTTCTGTCTGAAAACCTTCCTCTGTCCGCAGCCAAATGGTGATGATTGCATAATTTCTACTAAGGAGCAGGTTGTGACCTGAACTAGAATAATACTTGGGCCTCCAGAGTTAAAAGAACAGAGCATCAATCTACTGCGCCACCTATCATCCTACAATTATAATAACAGAAGGTGAAGTGATTAACATACTAGTACCCTAATGTAATGCTCTTCTGTAAAGATTTAGCATATACTTTAAGCATTTTATATAGAATCTAAGTCTAAAAAAGAAATGTGAAGGATTATCTGTTCGTATCTGCTTGCTTAAAATGTAATTACTGTACCACCTTAAAGCAGGTGGAATTATATCTCAGTGTTTCAGCAGAAAGAGGTTTGCATAGGAATTCTCTGTAGCCTCTGATTCTGCATGCAGTCAGCTCCTTCAGTCTAAAAGTTGCAAACTAAGGGTCAGCTACAGAGATGGTGATTTTTTTCTTCAAGTTCAAGTAAATGAACATCTTAGGTATGAAACCAATAAATAAGGCCTCTTTAAAATTGTTATGAATACCTGGGCCTGAAGAAAAGGGAAAGATTTTGCTGCTGTTGCCAAGATATTTTTCCAATGAATCAATATTGAAAAAGTTACACGTAGTTCTGAACTTTCTCCCCAAAAAGAAAAAATAAATGATATTCATGGGCACTAGACCTTCAACCAGAAGGATTCCAAAGTGCTTTTACAAACTATTTAGAAATCACTGGTTTATAGTCATCTATAAGGTAAAATGCACCCGCTGTTTAGCGGTTCACAGCAACATTATACAGTAGAAAAATGTAGTTATCTGAACTGAAATTTGTTCTGGACATCAGGATTAGCTATCTTAGTCTTGAGAAGACTACAACGAGATTTTTGGTTATCATTAGCCTAAACCTCAATTGTGCATCTGATCCAAAAGAGGACACCAACTGTACAGTGTCCCCAAACACAAAGAGAAGGCTACCTAATGAATCACCACCATTTCATGAAGAACCTAGGATTTCTTTGGAGGTGTTCTAAGTACTGACCCAGCCAAATCCTGCTTAGCTTGAAAAGTATGACAAGATCGCAGCCTCTGCAGTAACTAACAAAATTCTCACATATGTACACCACACTTTGTTCTAATAGCTTAAACCTTAGACTTGGGTTCACAGTATGGAAAAATCATATAGAATTTTTATGTGGAGAGCAGAGTTTCAGCAAAGCAAACTGAACACTAGTTTCTTATAGCATGGCACTAGAGAGAAGAAAACTAGAGGGGATATTTATTACAGTAATTTTCTATAACTAAGTTACAGGAAAATCTGTAGGAAAGAGATACAGTGTGCTGAAATTGCTTAATATGATCTTAAACACAGATCACTTGAGGATCTGCACTGACAAGAGGCAGTGGAAGAGGAAGGAAGAAATAAGCACACTGAATAAAGAAAGGCTATTTTCTTGTCAGAGTATTTTACTCAGATAGCAGCAGATTCACATGGCTATGATGTAGCTGTGGTGGCATACAGAATGGACGCATTTCCTTTTCCTCCCCTGACTAATTTTCATTAGACAGAATTGCTCAGGGTTTGTTTTTAATTTGATATACCTTCCCCAACCTCTATCTTCAGTTTTCTAAGTATAACTTCGAGACAACAACGCATTGGTACCAATATAGGGTAGTGTTGCTATCACAGAATAGCTGCATGTATTTCAGAGTTGGGTGAAGATATATTAATTAAAAAAATGAATAAATAATTAAAATGGACAGTGTATATGAAAGGAGTCTAACTTACATCCCGCCACCCTGAAAATACAGTAGGGTTTTCACAGAATAGCTCTTCTACCTCAAAAATGAATAGTTAAGGCATGCAGTCAAATGATGACTCATTTCTTCTCTTATCCTATGCAAGTTATATCTCCCACCCAATCTAAACTATGCCCCCTTTTGTTCTGAAATAATATACTGCTGGATATTCTTCGGAAAAATAATATGCCACTTAATTAAAGCTAAAAAACAAAACAAAAAAACACTTTTGCATTATATTTCCTAGTTGTTGGGAAAACATGAGATATTTTCAACCTTACTGGTCTTCTAATTAAAAAAAAAAAAATTTTTTTTTTTAAACTTAGTATTAATGATACTCTTGATATATCTATAAATATGTAAAGGCTATATGACAAATTGTAAAAAACATATTTAAGATGCAGAATAAAGGAATACAAAAGGACAGAGAAACCTTTTGATTGAACAAAAACATTTATTAAATTACATTGATTAACTAATAAAATTCTCAGTATATGCACTCTCACGTTAGTACAGCCATGACAAAATAAGTGAATTCCTATGAAAGGAAAAACAAAATTTAAAGTATCAAAGAAAAAGCTCATATGGGCGAATTCAGATACAAATGGAAAATTATTTTCTTGTACCATGAGTTCAAATCATAAGCTCCCACATACCTATTCACAATATTAAATAGGTAACAAAATGAATTCATGCCTACTTGCTTTAGATGGGAAAATCACATAAATATCACACAATAGCTCAGTCCCAAACATTTTGCTATATACTCTGTCATGAATATCACAATATTTCCTGCAAAATGTGAAATCTACAAATGTCACTAATATGCTTTTTTTGCAGTATAGCAACATTGGTCCCAGAATAAGAGAGAAAGAGGGAGAAAAAGAAAAGGTTGGTGAGGTAACTGTTTATTGGACCAATTTATTCTGCTGGTGGAAGGGACAAGCTTTTGAGCTTCACAGGGCTCTCCTTCAGATCTCAGGTGTTTCCAGGAGCCTTCTTATGTGGGGAGTGAAGAACCACAGATGATGTCACTCCCTGCCTTATATAGCTTTTGCATATGGCAGGAACCCTTTGTTCCAAAGCTTGGTTCCCAGACCAGTCTGTGGAAAAATACTGACATCCCAAGATGGTACGGTTACCATCCGTCCGTATTTCCCCGGACATGTCCGGCTTTTGCGTCTCTAAATAGCCGTCCGGGAGGAATTGGTAACAAGGTTAAAATGTCCGGGGTTTTTTTCTCCCTCGCCTCCCTCCCACCCTTCCATGCAGAGTGCGGCTGCTGATTGGGCGGCTTGGCTGATTGAGCTGCTCCCATTGGCCTCCAGCAGCCAGAGCCCTCCCCTGCTCCCCCCTCCCTCTGTCTGCAGCCCTGTGTAACACACAAACCGACCCACCAGGCAGAGTATTTTGCAAACACATGGAGCCAGAATGGTAAGGGGGGGGGCAGTCAGGGAGCGGGGGAGTGTTGGATGGGTCCCCGGCCTCCACCTGCCAGTCCCCCTCCTTGCGTCCCGTCCCCCCGTGGAACCCCCCCCACCTGCCTCTCCCTTGTCTGCTGCCCCCAGGTCCTTGTGTCCCCCATCTACTAATGGGAAGACAGGCTGCCCTTACCCTGCCCTTCCATCCTAGCCCTGAGCCTCTCCAACGCCCCAAACCCCTCAGCCCCAGCCCTCATCCCCCCACACCCTAATCCTCTGCTCCATCCCTGAGCCCCCCTCCTGCATCATGAACCCCTCATCCTCAGACCCACAGCCCTCACCCCTGCATCCCCTCCTATCCCCAAACCCCCTCCCCACACCCCCCTCCTGCCCTCAAACTCCCTCCCAAAGCCTGCACCCCCTCCCTTTGCACCGCCTCCCACCCCCAAACTCCATCCCAGAGCCTGCACCCCTCACCCACTCCTGCACACCCACCCCCTGCCCCAGCCCGGAGCCTGCACCCAGCACCCAAACTCTATCCCAGAACCCTGCACCCCTCCTGCACCCTAATCCCCAGCCCAGGACCTGCACCCCAGACCTCCTCCCCCCACCCAACCCCCCTCCCAGAGCCTTACGCAGGTGTGTGTGGGGGGGGTGGGTTCTGGGCAACACCAAAATTTCTACAACCCTGCCACCCATGCGAGTGGATAAGGGTCGGGGCAGTCAGGGGACAAGAAGCGGGGGGGTTAGGGTTCTGAGGGGAGCAGTCAGGGAGTGGGAAGTGGGAGGGAGTGGATGGGGACAGGGCTAGGGCGGGGCTCCCCCGTGTCCTCTTTTTTAATTGTGGAAATATGGTAACCCTACAAGATGGAGTCCAGCATCATGTGGCCTGGTCACATGTCCTTGTAGAGTCATAGTAGCCATCACTCACGGGCTGCCTGTAGTGTTCTCAGGAAGGCTCACCAGGTGGTAGATAAGCTTCTCCTATGGCCTATTGTTCTCCCTAATGGCTCACTGCCCTGAATAGGCCCTTCACAACCACTTACCTAGACTGAAAGCATCTGTCTAGTGGGTGTTACCCAGGTGTAACTACATTTGAAATACATATACACAGTCAATATTCATATATTCAGATACAAAAATGATACATGCATAGATAGGATAATCATATTAAGCTAATCATAACTTTTCCAATGACACCTCACATGACTTATCTTGCATAAAATTTCATCGTAATTATGCTATAACCATATCATATCATCACTATGAAGAATATGGGGTGCAGTGGCACACCATTTTTTAAACTGATTACGGTGTCCACGGAATGGATGCTGCTATGGGTATATTCTAGAGAGTCAGAGAGGGGTTGTAGTTGTTTAAAATTTGTGGTGGAAATCTGTAAGGGAGCTTAGGTCATCTGTCCAAAAGACGAAAATATTGTCTATGTATCTCAAGTATATCATTGATTCTGTGGTGCATTTTTCCAGAAATTCTTCCTCAAGGTGGCCCCTGAAGAGACTGACACACTGGGGAGCCATCCTAACACCCATGCTTGTTCCCATAGTTTGGG